TTTTTCCGATCCACATTGGGCGTTTTGTTGTTTTTCACTTGACTCCTTTTCATGTTTGATGCTTGAGAAACATTTAAAAATGAGCACACGCACGCACACACAAAACACATGGAACCACTTAAGAGGTTCCACCGCATCCGTAAAAACAGGGAAAAACCGATGCGGCGGACCCGCGTCGAGTCCGGTCCTGGAGAGCCGCTGTCCTGTCCGTTTGAGAACGGGATGCTGGGAAAAGAGCCGGCTCTCTGGGAGCCCCAGACCTGTGTTTATTCGGCACGCAGCTGCTAAATATTGTCGGTTCGCATTCCAGGGCGCCCGGCCCATCCGAGAGGAGCAACGGCGGTTTGGTGCGGATGAAGCCTTGGCGCTGGCACGCCCAAATAAAGCCAGACTCCGGAAACAACAGTCGGTCGAGGCCGCCGACGCGGCGCTGAGCGAGTCGCTCGGCGAAAAAACAAATTGGACACGTTGACAGAGGCCGAGCGGCCGTGCAGTTTTCCAGCCCGTCGTGCTTTGTAGCTTTCGGCATGTCAACTGGAGAGGCAGCGCCCACGTTTTTTTTTTTGGGGCGGGGGGGACTCAATATAAAAACCTCACAGGTGCAGCTTTCAAACTCTCTTCACGGTCTTTGTTTTTTAATGTCGCCAATTTTTACTTGATATAAGTATTGTCATTGACAAATGCGTGGATGTGAGGGAAAAACGATCTGTGGTGCATTCGTACTTCATCTCTGAAAACATTCCGTCGGCAAATGTCACTCGGTGCCGCAGACGAAGCCACCCGTCATCCCTTCCCGTCGTCTCGGCTGAACTTTGTCCGGGAGACTCCCCTTTTCCAAAGTCACAGAGAGTTCCCGCCTTGACAGACAGTCAGATTTGTATTCAGAGCACGCCCGTGCCTCCGTGAGCGACGGCAGGAAGTACCACATCGTACCGAGTTGATCGGTGGCGTTGCTCAGCAACGGAGGGGAATCCCACACCCATCCATTTTGTTCAGAAGCAAGGTCGCGGCGGCATTTCGCTACGCGCGGTTGGTCGTCACGAAGGCCTTTTCGCAATTTTGTGGGCAATATCAAGTCGTGATAACAAAGTTGGCGTTCTCAAGGCGTTCGTTGCCAGCAGAAATCGGCCAATGGAAAATGAATGACGTGAAATCGGGACTTTGAAAGGTGAACGTTGCAGGAGTGGAATTCTCCCCAAACATCAACGACAATAATCGGTTTTTCCACCCACCCACCCCTTAAAAAAGTCTGCATTTTTACTCAGTAAAATACCTTTGACAGCCACTTGTGACAAATAGGCATCTTTGCTCACAAATCTTATTTGTTGATCTGTTTTCCCGCGGGGGGAAAAAAAAAAAAGATTATTACGATCTTTGCAGATCATCGACTTCCGACCTGTCGACATTGTTACGCGCCATCCATTCCGTCCGATGTCAACAATACTTGGCGTTTTCCAAGGCATCCCACACTGAGTTGCATTTTGACTAACGACAGAGCCCTTCATGTTTGGAAATCAATTTAGATCGGATCCATTTGGATACAAACAACATGACTTGTACAAACAAGAATAGCCAGTTTGTGTGCTGCCTTCATCAGCACAGAAGACAAGTTTGTTTTTTTGTTTTTTTGGAAGGGGGGTGGGTGACGCGTCCCGTGACGAGATTGCTCAAGGCTAAGAACGCATCCGCCGCAAAATACTATTGGCGGTTGACCGCGGTTTTGACGGTCGTCACTCCTGCGCTGTTTGCGGTCATTCTGGCCAGTCAGCGTTTTGCATGAATGGAGTTTCGAGGCACTTGGGCAATTCGAACACGCTAGAGAAGGACAAAGGGTTCTGGGTTCATCTCCCGTGGCTACTGGTGCAACTTCTGCTTTTGAAGACCTGCTGTCTTGGTGACTTCACGAAAAAAAAAAAAAGATAAAAGCTTAGTGTGCATGTTTCTGCACATATTGGGCAGTTTTCCGGCGGCGTCTTATGGAAAGAGGTGATGAAGCGCTGCCTCCACGAGTGAAAATGCTTTTGCTGTCTTTATGGGAGCCGCTTGCCTCATCGCAATGCGCTCACGACACTGTCGGAGAATCCAGAACGTCAAAGAGTCGTCAGGTTAGCAGAGCTGCGCTGCGTTTTGTCAGACGCAAACATTAGCGTTAGCTTCGGAGTAGCGGCACATCCGGGATTGCTCGCGGCGCTTGGGGAGAATTTGTGTTCGCCGCATGCATGAACCCGCACAATAATTCACCGGCGCGGCCTCTAAAACGTAAAAATGATTTTTATTGTCTTGAGTACAATAAAACTGAATACAAAACTGAAGGGTAAGCAGAGCTGCATTGTTGTGCTTCTGTGAAAGCTTGCGATATGCAGCACATACTTGATTTCCTGCTGAAGTTGTTGACAGTGAAAGCGCATTGCGGGGGTTCTTTGGCGTCGTCTCCGCTTCCTGCGCCACACGCACCGATCCGCATGCTAATTGTCAAACGTGGGCAGCGTACGAAGCGCCGTCTCTGGTGTGATGCCCCCGAAAACGTTTGCTCCTCGGGGCAGTTCTGCAAATGGAAAGGCGTGGAGGCTTTCTTTCCCCTGGGACATGTTTCCCGGAAGGTTCCGGAGATTTCCACCATGCGTGACGCGACTTGATCATGGGGCGGCACGCCGACTCTCAAAGAATGGTACGAAGGCGAGTGAAAAGACTTCAAGCGCTCCTCCTCAACGCCATTAACACGTTTCAATCAAAAGGTGCGCTCATTCTACTCAGAATGAGTACTGAGAGGCTGGCCGAGTATACACCAGAAGCGAGCTGAGGGACAAAGAGGCACTTTGTGACTCGAAATTGTTCTTGTCACACCTACAGCATGTCGGTGATTAGTGACTCGCTATTCGTTCCAACGGGCCCAGATGACTCAGCGCAAAATACCAGTTGGAGCAGGCTGCCGACAGGACGGGCGGAACGCTTTCTTCCCTTTGCCCTTGTTGGACTTGAGCTTCATGTGCCACGCTGCCATCTTGAAATCGGAGCGAGGCTCCCTCTAGTGGCGTGCGAAAGAGTCCCCGCCGACAGCGCCGTTGAAGTTCGCTTTTTAATACACCTTGCGTCACTTGCATTTAATCTTTGAGAGTTTGGGGTTTTTTTTTCGGTGCGCGTCCATCTTCAAGTCACTCGGCTTCTCTCTCACCGAGAACGGATCTCGACATTTCGACGTAGGCGTGAGCGGGCTTGTGTTTATGCGCTGCCTGCGATGGATGAATTGGCTTCGGGTGCTCCAGGCAAGCGCTGTCCCTCCGATGGAATATTGCTCCTGAACATACCGCACGTTGGCCACATTCGTCTTTTTGTTTGGGATCATAAAATGACAGCGTCGGCCCCAGCTCACGACGGCGTTTGTGTTTTTGGCCGTCCGTTCATTTCACTGCTCGTAAACCTCGAACGAGCTCCAACTATAAAGCGCGTAAAAATCAGAAAGCGGAGCTCATGACCAAGAAAGCCGACGTCATTGCAAATCAAGCCCGACGAGCGAGCAACTTTTATGCGGGTCACACCCGGGAGCATTTTGCCCTCCGTGCCATAAATACCTGATTATCCAATCTTTGTCCGTGCGGCCTTCCAACCAAGAGCCAGCTGTGTTGGCTGATTTGACAGGAACGCCAGCAAGCGGCAGGGGCCTCAAGAGTGCTTTTGTGCGAGTGACACTGATACCTTTGGGCTTTTCTCCTCCACAAGCCGTCTTCTGTTTTGGACGGAGGAACACGCCACTGCACATTTCCATGGCTGCTTTACACACGTCTTATTTGAGCCTCGGCTGGGAGGCCGGGAAATGCCGCCGTCGGCAAACGTGGTTGACCGTGATTGCGACTCACCTAAATGCAGCAGAGCGGGGGGGTGGGGGGGGGGGGTCAAAGCCAGTGCAATGCAAGCCGGCCAGCCCGTCTCCGTTGCACCTTCTTCTGAATGAAGGCCCTGAAAATGAGTCTACAGCTTTATGCCATTGCATGCATTGAAATAAAAGAACCGGGACACACCCCGGACTAGTCGCCAAAAACGTGTCGGGAGAAACAAACAACCGTTCACACCTGGACATTCAGTGTGCTTCACATATCAGAAACAACAACGATGCAACGCCGATAACATTTGCAGACGACACTCGAAATGTCCAGTGCGAGGTGCCACAAAGACGAAGAAGACCTTCTCCGAGAAAAACAGGAACTGTTTTCAAACGCCACCGAGCAGCCACAATACATAGGCAGGACCTTTCTGCGCTGTGTCCACAAACTTAATCTCTTGCCATCAAAAGCACAGAAACAAAGGCAAACACTGTAACTTGGCCCCGTTTTCAAACAAAAGAGATCCTTGCTTTCCTTCGTACAATCAAAACAGCGAGGCCGCGTGAGACAAGTGGACATGTCCCAAGTGCTGGAATGAAATGAGCAAGGGTTACAAAAAAAGAATAATAATAATCCAGTGACGTTCATGCGGCTCCCTCCTTCAGTTTACATGCTCTGGCTGAGTCACGCCCAAACCACACTCCAAGTACACGCGGCGCGCCAAGGGCACGGACACACTTTGTACAAATGAACTTCATGCAAGGAAGTTAGGAAGGATGCAAGGGAGGACAGTAAAAGGGAAGGAAGAAAGAAAATAACACAGATGTATGAAAATGTGAGTCCAACATGATTTCCCCACCAGACAAAAATGTTGCAGCACGGCTTGATCCTTGAGGCCATTTGAAGCAATATGTCATTGGTTTTGGCTATAATTCCGATTTCTGCTGTCATTCAGTTCACTTTCAACGATTTATGTACAGCGTCCGTTCCCGAATGCATTTTTGTGGGTAAGAATGTTGATGAGAGATTTTAAAAAATGGTCAAGTTGCTCGACTGCAAAGCCAACATGAGTCATCTACTACTGCCCCTTCCTGGCTGAAGAAGGAAATGCAACACTAAAACACTCCAAGCAACATTTTTTATGTGCCGTACTGTCCAGTAGACAAAACCAAGCCCACTTGCTGACCAACACTGTTGCGATAAAACAAGTAAATTAGCCATGGACAAATCGATATTCTATTGTTTAAACCCGCGTTCCACTCAAAGGGGCGGGGCCAGGCTTACACGTGGGCGGATGTTTCGTTGCTATGGTTACAGAATAGCATGTAGCTCGAGCTCACGTCGCAAACTATTGTCGAAAAGTCGAAAATACTTGCTTGAGCCCATCTCGCCAGATATTTAAGGTAATTTCCAAAAGATAAAAGCCCAAGTCAAATTATTGTTTTTAAAAAAACAATTTCTGGGCATGCACACTGACGTTAGCTACCGGTAAAAGCTAACAACAAAGATTCCGGTGTTGAAGGCTGTTCATGCACTGGTGTTTCCGGTTATGTTTCAAATTAAATGTAGTTACAGGCTGCCTGGAGCGAAAACTGATCAATGCGCATCCATTTTATATTAAAAGTTCTGTCAATACCAATAATAAGTTTGTTGGACATGAACGAAAGAACAGTAAGGATTACTGTTGTCTGCGCGAGGTTGCGTTTACTTTTATTTTTAAAGGAAACAAATCGACACTGGAAATTCAAATGACACTGAAAACCAACCTCAACCACTCGCAGGATTCTTAATCCTTGTTGCTGTTCGCCGCGTTTCTTTTGCCGGCGTTAATTTCGTTCTTTAGCTCGCTCTATGACGTCCAGGGTGAAGTGAAGCCCTCGCCAAGGTTGTGTTGTGGTCGTCAGCAGTAGCGGCAGCGGCAGCAGCGAGCATGTCCGGCGACCTCGCTGCCGTATGGGACGTCGCGTTGAGCGACGGGGTCCACAGGATCGCCTTCGAGCACGGCACCACCACCGGCAAGAGGGTCATCTACGTCGACGGAAAGGTACATAGTGGGATTTTTCGCTTTTGAAAACAGGTGTCTATGGAACCTGCTTTTGTCAAATAGCGCAAGGATCAAGGATTACGGCCTGTTTTGAAGGGGCGGTCCTATCTCACCCTGGGCCAATGGCGAATCAGGCTTGTGTTGCCTCGGCGATCAGGTGTTGCAACTCGGTGTGCAGACTCAACCACTGGAAGCGGAGCCCACTGTGTAGGAGGAGAAAACATGAAAGCGATGAGAGCGTTTTCACCTGCGGGGCTTCATCACATACAACTGTTGATTAGTGCGGGCAGCGTTCTGCAGTGTGGCCAATTTGTGACGTCGCAGAGATGCCGTTTCAGAAGTAGGCAGCCCACAAAACTTTGTCTTGCTCGTTTCATTCCAGACTTTATGGGAGGAAATGCACACTTGATCGCAAACTAAAGCCGTGAAAGAGTTACCTGTAAGTCATATGCCCCCTTGAATTTGGCTTTCCTAGGAGGTGCTGAGGCGGGACTGGATGTTCAAGCTGGTGGGCAAGGAGACGTTTGCGGTGGGCAAGCTGGACGCCAAAGCCACCATCAACATCGACGCAGTCAGCGGCTTCGCCTACGAGTACACGCTGGACATCAACGGCAAGAGTCTCAAGAAGTACCTGGAGAACAGGGCCAAGGTGACCAGCACTTGGCTCCTCAACCTGGACGGGATGGATTCCAGGGTGGTCTTGGGTGAGTTTCTCCTCCTAACCGCTACCGCTGGGGTGGTGCCCGTTGATCTTTTTATTGATTTATTTTTGCTCGCGACTGCTCACATTTTCTTACAGAAATCACTGAATTGCAGCGCTGATTGACCTCGACCGAGGGTGCCCAGTATGTCGATTGCAATTGACCGGTAACCGCGGACAGGTCCCAAGTTGACCTCAAGGGATGTAGAGAGAAAAGGAGGGGGGTGGGGGGGGGAACAACTCGTTTTGTGTGTCAACGTGCATATTTTGGTGTTTGTGTACACCATGCTATGAGCACCCCCCGCCCCCCAAAAAGCAAATTATTATTTTGAGCTGGCTGCTGAGTCAGCATTGATGTTTCGACGCTTTCAGGCGCACAGCATTTTGCGCTGATGGTGAATCCATCTTAAAGTGAGCCGACTGTCAGGAAACAGGTCGCACACGACGACGACTTCTCAGCAATCGATCATGAAAACCTGACTTTGTTTTTTGCCTTCTGTCGCCTGCCTTCCTTGCCTTGCAGAGAAAGACACCATGGATGTTTGGTGTAATGGACAGAAGATTGAAACTGCCGTAAGTGCAATTGTTGTTAAGTCTAAGCTTCTTTCGTCTTAGGCAGCTGGCTCAAGTCTAGCCTCACTTTGAAACAGTCATTCATGCCCGCGTCACATCTCGGCCCCGATGACTGTTACGCAACTTGACTTTGGAGTCAGTCGATCCTCCATAAAGCGTCCGCAGTTGGTCCAGAATGCCGCCGCTCGCCTCTTGACTGCTACTCGTAAGAGGGAGCAAATCAGTGCGACGCTGGCATCCCTTCACTCATGTTAGAGTTCTTTTTACAATGCCCTGATTTGTTTTCAAATCTTGAAATGGTCTGGCTCCACCTGACCTCTCGGAGCTCCTCCGCACCCGCCCGGTGCCTCAGGTCTGCGGAACGGACACTAGGAGAGTTTCCGAGAACTAAGCGGAGACTCAGAGGGGACGGAGCCTTTTGTCTCTCTTTGGAAAGAACGTTCGGCAAGCCCCCTCGCTGTCCATCTTTCAACCTCGTCATCTTTATTCTTTGGCTTTTGAGTCGGCATGAGACTTGAATTTTAGTTTGCCTGTTATTGTGCTTTCTACTGTTATTTATTTATTGTTTTATTGTTCTTTTTGCTCCACGTGCAGCACTTTGTAGACAGCGTTGGTTTTTTCCAAGTGCTCTCGACATACACTTGAGTTGAGTTGAGACAATAAGCAAATGAACGGAATCGCTCGGCAAAGGAGGTCAGGCAGCAAGCCGACTTGACAAATGTGCATGTTCTCACTGCGTCCTCTGCCGTCTCCAAGGGCGAGTTTGTGGACGACGGCACCGAAACTCATTTCACCCTGGGCGAGCACAACTGCTGCGTCAAGGCGGTGAGCAGCGGAAAGCGACGGGACGGACTCATTCACACCCTTCTCGTGGACGGAGCCGAGATAGCTGAATGCACCGAGTGACTTTTTGGGTCTCGTGGATCTGCTGTTAGGAGACATTCTGAAAACACTGGAAAACCCTCTTGTACTGCATTGTGGGGGGAAAAAAAACAGGAACATCATCTGAATGCCGAAGAGCCACCCCTTAAATTCTGTCCTTTTTTTTGTCCTTCTGTTCCCTCCACGTTCCTCAAAGGATTTCAACCTTCCCAGTCTCAAATTGTACACATTTCAACAATTCATCCATTGCAATTTCCATTTAGCGTCCGCTCATACGCATTCGTACACAATTTCTACAGAAACTGCATTTTTTTTCGTTTGATGGACCGGTGAATGTAGTGTCAGGGTTGAATGAAAACATTTCACACTCCCGAGAGCGCTTTCACATGGCAACATCAAATTCGGTTGGCTCGTCTCATGTGAGCAGACCCACAAAAACGTTTCAAGAAGCCATTCCTGAATCGAAGTCTGCCACGTTCGTTTTAAGCTGCCATTCTCGGGTCATTTGGCAATTTTCCAGGGGACCTTTAAAGCCAAACTCGAGAGAGAGAGATTTATTTTTTTTTCCCTGAATTACTCCTAATTTTGGAGCACCTATAGGAGACGGATAAGTTGTTTTGACATGTCGTGTTTTTGAATTTGGAATGTCAAAGTTTGACCTCCAGCAGTTCTGTGGCGTTACTTGAATTGAAGATAGTTCTGGTCTCCATGTTTTCCAGTGAACATAAGCTAGAGATTGAGATACTGTGTAAGTGTGTCGTTTGGGACCAGCGTTATTTTACAAGTCAATTGCTGTGAAGTAGCTGAGTAGCAATTGTTTTTGTTACGCCAAATGCAATAAATAGTGAACTTTGTTTCTCAAGTATTTCTGGTAAGAAACAAAATAAAAACCTCAGCGCTTTACCGTTGGTTTATTTGTTTCATTATTTGAGGACTAAATTGTCTATGGTTGGGAAGAAGCCGTTCGTGACTTCCGGGCCAAGTTTTCAAGCTTTGAACTTGAAGTCAAAATGAACTAACAGGAAGGACGACCTACGTACTCGACCGGCCGCTCCAAAGTTGAAACCAGGATTTCCTTGGTACACGGTAGATCACAAACGTTATTCATTATTCGGCGTCAATCGAATAGGTCGGCTTTCCTCGAAACGTCTCCTTGTCTTCAAGAAATAAAACGATGAGCAAACGACACCAAGCATGGCGGCGACAGCGAGAAGAGCAAGCAGCGTGTTGAGGCCGATCTCGGCATCTCGAGCAGAGAGCGTGATTCCCAAGAAGTTGACGGGGGCGACGGGTGGAAGAGGCGTGCCGGGCGCACTTGTCGTCCCTGTCGAGAAGAAGACAGACAAAGTACCTCAGTCTTGCCCGCGGCTGTGAACGGTTGTTTGCCTATGTCACGTTAGTGCTTCTGCGCCGGCCACCCAACTTGGGTCTCCAACCGGCGCCACCACCACGTGGTTGACTGCCGAGCTCTGGCCCGAGCCAACAACTCAGCGACATCGAAATGTATTCAGTATACGACGCAAACAGGAATGGAGCCCGCCGTTCCAAATACTCTTGGAGTCAATGCTGAGTTGCCGATACGTATACGGCAATTGCCCGGCCGACAATCGAACGCACCTTCCACCTCGTGGTTGAGACACTCGTGGGGCCCAGTGGCCGGGTCTGGGAATCCGTTACAGGCGATGACGGTGGCGTAGGTGGCCACGGAGGTCTTGGCCACCCGAGGAAGTTTGGGGTCCGAGTGATTGACGTAGAAGAGGCCGAACCTTTCTGAAAATCCCGTGGCCCACTCCAGGTTGTCCATCAACGACCAAGCCGTGTAGCCCCGAATATCCACGCCGTCCAGCACATAAGCTAGGAGAACATTACGGTTGTGTGAGCTCTCTCGATCTGAAAACCCACAGGTACAGATGACGACTGACGGAACCCTTTCTACGATGGAACTTTCCTGTACGACTGAGAGCCTCCACAAGCATCGATCTGAAAAGCAAACTGGATTGTTGCCACGGTTGGTCACCTTTCAAAAGCTGGTTGATGTACTTTTCGTAGTAGTGGCTCCTGTGGAGATCATTCAAATCCACGGGCCCTCGCTCCGAGATACCGTTCTCAGTGATGATAATCGGAGGATTTCCATATTCCTCCTTAATGAAGTTCAATATCCTCCGGAATCCGAACGGCGAGACCTTGAGCCAGGATGAGCCCGAATCCAGCCAGGTGCGATCCGCAATTGTCCCTGCGCCTCTGGGACAATCGGACAAGGCTTTCTGACGTTAGCGCCTAAGAAGGGAGACGCGGGCAAAACCTAGGCGAATGAAGCCGGCCGGGGTTGCGTTACCGATCGGCATCGTAATGCTGAAGGTTCCCGAAGTCCACGGGGAAGGCCAGCACGGTCGTGTAATGGTTGAATCCAAAGTAATCGTAAGTGCCCTTGATTCTTTCTACCTCTTTGGCGGTGAATTCCGGCAACCTGGAGAAAGACACCCCGAGCGATCAGCCTGCTAAATGTTGATACATTTGAAACAAAGACGCTGAGATTACCGAGATTTGGGCAGGCCCGCTTCCAGGCTTCTCTTTCGAATGATGGTCTTCATCATATCGCTGTAGTCTCCCTTAAAGATGGGGTGCGCAAACCAGCCAATGTAGAACTGCAATAACATGAATGTCTTTGTGTCGTGAAGCGATCTATGCCCCGGACCGGTCGCCAGTCAATCGCAGGTCACATGGAAAAACACACATTACCTCTTGCGGACATTTTCCAGTCTTTCTATGAGCCGAAGACGCAAAGACGGCTGAGATAGGCCCCACCATGCCCGCGGCCCTCGTGCGGATACGCTTCAAAGAATAATGGAGAAAAGGAAACACGGTACCTGCACCACACGCCTGGCGGCGTCGACGTCCTCCTGCTTGTACGGGTTTCTGGGCTCCGACCAATCGGAATTGATGGTGATGGAGATGATCCCGCCCTGTTTGCTGCGGTACTCGTCGTCGTACAGGTGCCAGGCCTCGGCGTGAGCTTTGAGCAAGTGGTGGCCCACGATGTACGGCAATGTGCCCGGCCGGAAACTAATCCCTGGAGAGTAATTAAGGTCATATTTTCACAATGTCAAAACATATCTTAAAAGCCCGTCTTCATCGGATGACTGAATCATTCACTGCTGGGGATGTTGATATTTGTCAACTGGACTCCACCTGTTTACTCAGCAAGTGCCTTTTTCAACAGGTAGGCGTCGAAGAGGCTCGTGGCCCGCTCGTCTGTGAACCTCAAGCGTCGACATAACTATCATGATGAACAGGCACCAGTAGATGGCAGCGCCGCATTGCTTTGATTTTGCTTTTGAGTTGCCGCCGCATCGAATCTTCTGAGTTTGTCATATTGATCTTAAGGAGAGAAATGTCTTTTCATTTGGCGTAGGGTGTGTTTTTACCTGGTGCAGCGGCTCCGTACCCGTGACCCACATTGGCGATGTTGTACGGTTCATTAATGGTAATCCAGAATTTGACTTTGTGACCGAGGCGTCTGAAAATGAGGTTGGCATAATCCCGGAATTTGAGCACAATGGTTTCATTCTCCCAGCCGCCAATGTCCTGCAGAGCTTGAGGAAGGTCCCAGTGGTACAGAGTGACCTAGCAACACGGACGATAACGGACGACGGCTTGACTCAAAGCCAAAAACAACTCATAGAGTACTCGGGCCGCACTGAAAAGGGGGAATAAAATGACGCTGCGAGATGAAGGTGTCCTTTCACCGGAATAATATGCGTATGTATACTTTCATGTCTACTTGCAGTACTACATACATGAGGTTGGATGTTGGCATCAAGCAGGGCGTCCACCAAGCGACTGTAGTAACTCAGTCCAGCTTCGTTGATGTAGTCGGTGGTGCCATCGGGAAGAACCCTCGGCCAGGATATGGAGAAGCGGTAATGCGTCACCTTGAGTTGCCTCAACATGGAAACATCCTCGTCTATTTTGTTGTAACTGTCGCAGGCGACGTCGCCGTTATCGTCATTGAACACTCGGAGAGGCGTGTGGGCGAACCTGTCCCAAATGCTCAGACCTTTTCCATCGGCCCTCCATCCTCCTTCGATCTAGAAGCAGTCAGTATGAAACTTCAGGAAAACACTAGTGATGAGAAAAATGAAGCTTCAAAGTTCCTTCACCATTTTTTGGGACTTCTTGAGATGGCACTCTTTATTGAACATTGAGCTGAAAGTACACCGACCTGCCGTTGATTTAAACCAACAGTGCCATCATGGGGAGTAAAAAAACAAAACAAAATACAACCGGTTCGAAATGAAGCTTCAAAGTTCCTTCACCATTTTTTGGGCTTCTTGAGATGGCACGCTTTGCTGAATATTGAGCTGAAAGCACACCGACCTACCATTGATTTAAACCAACAGTGCCACAATGGGGAGTAAAAAAAAAATAATCCAACTGGTTCATGACGAAAATTTGAAGCTTCATTTTCCCATTAGTGGAAAACACCCAAACGTTTGTTCTACATATTGCTTTTTGACATTACCTGATATGATGCTGTTGCAGTACTCCAGATGAAGTTTTTGGCAAAATTTCCATAAAGTATTTTTTCATCCTCTGGCGTGGGAAATCCGTTGTCCTTGATCACTCGATGGTAGAAATGAGCAGAGTACTTGGGTGTTCTCGGGCGGTTCAGATCTTGGAAGTCGACGTGGTGCAGCCCAAATCCCACTTTGAAGCCGTCCAGCCACTCGAATGAGTCCATGAGAGAGGCGGCCGTGTAGCCTCTCAGCTTCACGCCGTCCAGATCGTACGCTGGCAACATCGAGGAAATTATGCGGAAAGCCAGATTTCAAGATTTTTATTCCGCTCACCTTTGCACCATCCTTTTCTCTGACTATCAAAACGATGTCAAACGAAAAAAGTGCTGACGTTACCTTTGAGAGCCTCGTCAATGTAGGTTTTGAAGTAAAACACTCTTGCCGCGTCATCCCACTTTGTCTTTGAGTCCGTAGCAACCCCATTGTCAGTGATGTAAATCTCTGGATCGCCGTATTCGGCTTGGACCCAGTTGAGGAGTCTCCTTAAGCCCCAAGCCACAGCCCTCTGGTTTTGGATGGCCGTGCTTGGTGATTCGCCAACCTCTTCTTCTGCCAGATCCCGATCATATTCGTAGGACGGCGGCGCGAGCCGAGCCGTGGCGTGGCTTACTGTCTTTGTGGTGAAGTGGTTGAAGCAGAACACGTCGGCGGTTCCCCTGATGGACTTCCTTTCCTCTTCTGTGAATTCTGGTAGTCTGGACTCCGCCAGACCTTGGAGTTCGCTCTTGTTTCCGACCTGCCACTTCATCGCGTCGGGATAGTCGCCGTTCTTAAAAATGGGGTGGGCGAACCAACCCAACTGAAACTGCATAGCACGGTCGGCAGCCACCACTTCGCGAAGAACGTTGACGTCCTTTGGTTCTACCCAGTCAGAACCGAGGGCGAGCGAAACTAGACCATCCTGGGATTTGCGATATTTTTCATCGTAGATACGATAAGCTTTGGCATGGGCTTTTATGAGGTTGTGCGCCACTCTATACGGTGCACTTCCTGGCTGCCTAACATTTGGGGGAATCCGTCCGAGTCCGTACCCTGACCATGCGATGGTGTGTGGCTGGTTGAAAGTCAACCAAAACTTCACCCTGTCTCCAAAGGTGGAGAAGCAGAAATCGGAAAAATCTGCAAAAATGTCGGTCATGCTTGAATTCTCCCAGCCGCCAAAGTTTTGCAACTCCTGAGGGAGATCCCAGTGGTACAACGTCACCATCGGTGTGATGCCGTTGACCAGAAGTTCATCAATGACCCTGTTGTAAAAGTCAACACCCTTTTGATTCAGGGAACTTCGCAGACCAGTCGGGAAGATCCTGGACCAGGACAAGGAGAATCGATACGACTTCACCTCTAGAGCTCGCAGCATGTAGAGATCCTCCTGGAGTCTGTGGTAACTATCACAGGCCACGTCTCCGTTGGCGTTACCTGGTACACTTCCTGGTTTGTGGGCAAACACGTCCCAAATACTTGTTCCTTTCCCATCCGCATTCCAGGCACCTTCAATCTGGTAAGCGGAAGATGATACTCCCCAGGTGAAATTTCGGGGAAAAGTGCCATAATGGTAGGTCTGGCGGTGGAATTTGGACTGATGGGAGAATCTCTCCCACGTAACCTTGGACTTAGACGGAACCTCTGAAGGAGGTAATGCTTTCGAGGGAGGCTTGAACTGTGTCGGCCTCACGTCCAAACCATCTGGAAGACTGAGAGCAAATCCATTTTGTTTGATAACCTGTGAGTAGAAGTATGCCGACTGTTTCGGGGTCCTCGGCCTGTCTGGGTCCTCAAAGTTGACGTAGTGCAGCCCAAACCTTTGGCTGTAGCCTTGTCTCCCCTCAAATCCGTCCATTAGTGACTGCACGGTGAACCTGCGCACATCCACCCCATCAAGGAGTCTTGCTACAAAATGAGACGAAGAAAGTGGACAACTTTAAAATAATTTAAAATAAAAATACACACACATATATATATATACACACACACTTTTTTTTAAATTTCAAAATATCGGACTCGCCAAAATGACTTTGCAAAAATGTACGACCCCCCAAAAATAAACAGCAACCCTTTTAAAGCGAGATAATGTGCCTTTTTTTCTTATGGCGGGGAACTTTTTTCAATTCCTATGGTTTTTAGTGGCACATGTGGTGATGATTAATTGGCATTAGGATTATGAGGGGGGTCCTTGGAAAATGTTCTCCCCTGTAAGGAGTCCCTGGACACCGAAAGTGTCAATGTTGTCAGCATGAGATGATTATGACTGTTTTGGGGTTTTAACTACAAACATGGACAATTGTAAACGGCTTTAGGGAGGATGTTGTTTTTGGGGGGAGGCTGCTACTCGTGGGAGGCTGCTTCCCTGCAAATAAATCAAAAAATATGTCAAGAAATTCCTGCGACCAACCTTTAAGAGCTTCATTGATGTACCTCCTTAAGTAGTCTACCCTACTGGTGTCATTTAGGGGGTCCCCTCCATACTCTGTTGGCATGCCATTGCCTGTTACGTACACAGGTACTTTTTTCATCTTTAGGTACTCCGCAGCGATATAGTTAAGAAGCCTTCTCAGTCCCCAGGGTGTAGAATAGATCCAGTCCGAAGTTGTCGGAGACCAAGATGGGTGGACACGGGACTGGAAGTCACCCACGCCTTGCAGACTCGCGGCGCAACCTCCGTCACTGCTGTTTATCAGCCGCATTGTAGAATGGGTGAGTCCAAAAAAGTCAGCTGTTCCATTGATCCGTCGACTTTCTTCAAGAGTGAAACCTGGCAGAAAGGCAGGTTTGGAATGAGGACACTCTTTGCTCTTTTTGTCAATCTGACTCTTCAGAGCTGCTGGGTAGTCCCCGTCCACAAATATGGGGTGCGCAAACCATCCTAACGTGAATTCCAGGGAACGGTAGGCCGCCTCCACGTCTCGATATCCGGAGGGGTCCGAGGGCTCGGCCCAGTCAGAGTTGAGCGCGATTCCCACCTCGCCGCCTTGTTTGCTTCTGTATTTGTCATTGTAAACGTGCCAGGCCTCAGCGTGGGACTTGATTATGTTGTGAGTCACCTGGAAGAGCAAGGAGCGACAGATGATTTCAAATGTTTCCAGCTCCCGAGACATCTTTGGAGGGCCTGCCCACCCGTCGTCACGTTTAAAATTCAACAACCCAGTCATTTTTTTTTTTAATCCAATACTGCTTTCAGAAAATGTGTTTGGGAGCCAGCCGGTCTAAATGTTGCCGGATTGTGACATCACAACCACCCCCACACTGGACAAACATCCAGAGCCACGTTCACATGAAAAAGGTTCTAAATTAGGAATACTGAGGAGCACTGGCTTCCTCACAAAACCTCCGCTTCATCCCCGGTCTTCCTCGTAACAACATTGGGCATTTGTGCGCGACAGAACGGTTCAGGCCAGAGCTGGACAAGTGGATAAAATTGTGTGTTAATTCTTCATCCACTGTGTATTATTGACCTTTTGACTGTCTGAAACCGTGCATTGCAACACCTTGGGAACTGTTTGAAATTGTAAAAAAAAACAAACAAAAAAAAAAACTTTCTCTTACCTGGTAGGAGCCCATCCCATAATCCTGGACTTCGGGGGGGTGCTTGCCTATGGCATAGCCAGCGTAGCTCACCACCCAAGGACTACTGAACGTGTTCCAGGTCTTGACCCTGTCTCCGAAAGCGGAATAGCAGAAGTCGGCGTAGTCCTTGAAGGCTTCAATAATGGAAGAGTTTGTCCATCCGCCCTGATTCTGGAGCTCCTGGGGCAGGTCCCAGTGAAACAGGGTGACGACCGGTCGTATTCCCGACTCAATGAGAGCGTCGATTAGTTTTTGATAGTAGAGCACTCCTTTATGAGACCGGCTCCTCCGGTAGCCTGAGGGCAAAACACGGGCCCACGAGATGGAAAACTGGTAGGTGTTGACGTGGAGGCCTCGCAGGAGGTAGACGTCGTAATCCACCTTGTGATAACTGTCGCAAGCTTGATCGGCCGTCTGATTATCAAACACTTTATTTTCGTGGCCGAAGCGATCCCAAATGGTTTCTCCCTTCCCACCTTCGGCCCAGCCTCCTTCCACTTTGAAGGACTCACTGGAGGTGGCCCACTGGAAATCCGAGGGGAAGGATCCGTTGAGGAAAAGGTCACGTTCGGATTCAAGCTGGACCCCAAATTTATCCCAGACAGTCTGGTAACTGTTTGTCTTTCCGCTGGAATTGCCAAGAACGCCGGTGCTACAGAAAACACAAAGGAACACATTGACACTGCAAGCAGGGCTTCTTTTTCACGCTGTATCCTTTGAACAAGGAAACCTTGACGGCATACCGTTCCCAGATTAAAAGGCTTGGCATTTTAGCGTTGCCCATCTGTCCAGCATTTGTCTGCTTCCGATCGGGCGCATTTAGGCAAAGTCCATTATGGGACTTTGTTCAAGTATGAGGCCTGGAATTTTGCCGGAAATCAAACACTGCTGGCATCCTGTTCGATTTTGCCGCACAAGTGTGTGAGACGTTTTTGTGTGTCCCGTCATGATGTACGAGGTCTGGAATTGAACCCAACGTGGACCACTGCCTGTCATATTTCAGGCACGGGTCCCCTGAGCCTGTATTGCGCCTGCTGTTCTCATGGACATGACTGACCAATTTTGTGTCGGATCGCAGAAACTGCTCTCCGTGGCTGATTTATTTTCAGAGGGCGCCACTGAGTTTTAATTTCCTGGTGGATGCAGACATCTGCAAAGGTTTGTGAGGTTTCGGTCACATTTAGGCCCCCAAAAGGCCCTTCATGAATCCCCCCCCAAATAAATACAGCAATCCCGCAATGCGGGATGGGCCATAAGTATATCCAGACACCTCGAGTTTCTGAAACCTGAAAGCATATAGAGAACATGACACATTTTCCTATGCATGGAAACTTCTGGCCTACCCTGTCTGTACAAAGGGTTACCTGGTAGGCAGATCCTCCTTCTCCATCGTGCCTAACACGTCCATCATGTCACATCCTTCTATTTTCATACTGTTGCCACGGAGCACTGTCGAGAGTTCAAGAGATTCATGATTATTGGCGCGATCGAAAGCGGATTACACTTGATGAGCTGTCATTGATGTTTTCGGACACAAGTGGCGAAATGACGTAAGATGATTATTACACCGTGCTCTATAGAGTTTCCCAAGTCTGTTCAGTGGCTACTTTGACGTCCATTTCAAGGGGGCACGTGACAGAAAATCCACTTTTCCCCCCCCCCTCTGGTATCCAAATACTTCTACAGCTCAATATATAACAAACTTCCATCCATCCAGCCATCCATTTTCAACAGCACTTATCCTGAAGAGGGTCACCCGGGAGTTGCTGCAGGAGCCTCTCCCAGCTGACTCTGGGCGAAAGGCAGACTACACCCTGTACTGGTCGCCAGTCAATCGCAGGGCACACATAGAGACAAATGACCATTCGCACCAACATCCGCACTGTCACTAAGCGGGAACCGATCCCACGCTGCCCGGACAAAAGGCAGGCGAGTGGACCACTACGCCGTCAGTGACTACAAAACAACTCGTAGAGCCTTTCATGACTTTTACCTTGTAAGACATTTCCGAGCACCTGCAAGCGACTGTCAGCACAATCACAGAGTGTCATCTTGTATATGAGGATGGGCACATCTTGACTGGTCATCTACGACACACACAAAAGAAAAAATTATAGGGAAAGAGGTCCGGGAGGGACAATTTTGTACAATGACTGCACCTTCAACTTGGTCAGCTCCTCAGTCAAATTAAACGTGGAAGCACAGTTGGACTCGAAACGCAGTGACAGGAAGTCCATCTATCCAAAACGGCAGAGACAAAAGTTCAATCTAATTGGTGTCCCTCAGGTCACGATCGCACTGGAATGGCACCATGACTGAAACTGGTTTCGAGGATGAGCGCAAACAAAGAGCAGATGACTCTTACCGTGAGTGAAGTTTGGATCGGTGAAAGAAGCCCGTTATCACTTGCGCTCCACCCAACAGAAACTTTCCCTGTGAGTATGGAAGAGTAGAGGAGAGGTTGGGATCCAGATAAGGGGGTTAGCTTCAGCTATCCTCCAAGTGTCACACCCCATTCTAACATCGAACCGTCTACCTGGGTGGACACGTCTTTCATAACATGGAAAACGTTTCTCACACCCGCGCACACAATTGAACAGGAAGTCAACCATTTTGGTTACTGACTCACCTTGGTCTCCAAAGCTACGATGGTAAAGTTGGTAAATATTCCGGATCAATTGAATGAGATCTTGCCGATAAGTCTCATCGGGTGGTGGTGGTCCATCGCGCCAAACCTCACCCAGATGGCTGAGTATCACCCAGGAGTGGGCCAACTCCCCAAACTCTTGAAAGGCAAACTCTGCGTAGAGGGCAAACATCCCCCGCAGCTCTGGGCTTTCCCATCCTCCAAACTGTGACTTAAGATCTTCTGGCACTGTGGATGCGTGAAGGATGACAAGAGGCTGGAGACCCGCACTCAAGATCTGGTTCAGCAGGGTCCGGTAGCAGCTGACCACGGCTCGTTGGGGCTGCCCGGGTTGGCCTGGGGGGCGGATTGGGAATGTTGGCTGCGGTTCTCCCATCCAAGATATACCAAAGGTAAATAAGGGAAGAAGACACGGAATCTACCTGATGGTAGGAGTCGGTGCCAGGACAGGGGCACTTGGAAATGGGTGAGACCTCTTCCCCGGAGAGAGTCAAAGTACCGTCCGGATCCAGGAGGGATGGGACCACCGCAGTGAAAGACATTCTTCTGGGACTGAAGTGGACCCGCGAGAAGCATCAAGCCCTCCTCCCCATTCAGCTCACTGCTCAGGCTACCATACAAACACAGGAGGCACAGAGACTCCAGGAACAAGCACTTCATGCTGGCTGGAAACAAATGGACTAAGAGGTAGCACGCCACTCATGGTTTCCTCCCATCTGCCAGTTACGCAATACCGTCGATAACATATTGGTTGGATTGTTTTATTGCAGTTGTGTGATAAACTTCCAAAGACTCTGAACCTGAAAATGACAATCGTGCGCATCGCTGTCATCGTGTTTTGGGCCTGCCTCAGCTGATTTGGTGACAGAAGCGGGATGCACCCCGCATCGGCCGCCGGGCGCGTTTAGGCCAACAATCATTGACGTCTATGGGCCACCTCGACTCTGGCGTCTTCAATAGAGATTTTGGGTGTTTGAATTTGGGCCCAAAACAACGCGCCGTTACATCGGGACAATGAATAGTCGCTTCTCCAGATGTGCCGAGTGACTGATTGGCGACCAGTCCAGAGTTTATCACGCTTCTCTTGTCTCCTGTTAAAGTTGATAAAATATATGATTGTTGGCTTCTTTATCTGCTTAGCATATCTGAATGTCGTGATATGAGGATGACCAATGTTTGCTTGTAAATGCATTTTGAGATTGTATCCTCCTGCTTATCATGCAATATTTTGATCATGATGATGAATGTTGTCAGTGAGTATCTTTCAGCGTTGTTTTTGTACTGATGATCGCTGCATGATGAGCTTTGATGGAACAAAATCAAATGCCTGAAAACTATCATATGAATGTTTAACCAAAAAAAAAAACCTCATTATTGCTGCACAAAGTTGCACCACTTTCAAGTATTTAGCATAACAAAAACAATCACTATTTCGGGCAGTAGGCACCCTGACCCTGAACTGGCTGCCAGCCAATGGCAGGGCACACAGAGACAACCATTCGCAGTCACAATCACACCGAAAGTCAATTTGAGGTGATCGATTAACCGAGCACGCATGTTTTTGGTATGTGGGAGGAAACCGAACACCCTGAAAAAAGCCACACAACATGCAAACTCCACACAGGCAGGCCGGATTCGAACCTTCGACCATTGCACTGTAAGGCCGACATGCTAATAGGTCGCCCACGGTGCCTAGTCTGAAGTATCGAAAAAAATGTACCCGGTCCACATTGTTGTACATTTTGCCAGCCACAAGTAGATAAAATCCAGAATATAATTGGAAAAGAAATATCAGAAATGATCATTACAAAAAGAATAAAAACTTCAAATACATGAAACACTTGCCAACTCAATCATGAAAATCAAAAGCAAAAATGGAGTTCTTGCACGTCGTCCACATGGCCTGCCAGGGGGCGCCATTGTAGTGGCAACCGTCCTCCCTCGCGCTCTGCGGCAAGCACCAGCTTTTTTTTTTTTTTGCTTTTTTTTTCCAAGTCGCGGTGCACAGGAACCCCTGAAGACGTAATGTGGCCACTCAAAAACGCTGTCAAGTTTTCATGCATGCCTGCTCATCACAGAACCACAGCAAAAGTGCAGTAGGAGGAGCCACTTATTTGGTATATTTTTGGGGTTGGCGGTCTGCTTGTCGGGGACCACCATCCACCCATCCGCCTGTGCGTCCATCCAGTCATTCATCCATCCCGGCTCTACGTGACTCTCCCCGGCCGCTGGTGGATGCGCGCGTGGGTGTGGGAGGGGCCCACGCCTACCGCCGCTGCACCCCGCCCGTCTCGCCTCATTTGGACTGCGGGGATAACGAGCTGCAAGCAGGGAAGAAGAACCTGCGTGATCCCTTCCTCATCCTCCTGCTGCTATTTGGGTTTCTTTTTTTTTTTGCCTCTGCGTCAAAGGTAAGCGCGATGGCCTCCCGGTGGTGTCGTGTCGTCGACGTTCGCGTGCACGCGTCTCCTTGCAAGCTGATCATCGAGCGTGGAAAATGACGTAGGGAATCCCCACAGTAATCCAATCGCCATGCATGCATGATGCATGCATGTAGTGCATGCAAGGCACTACAAGCGTGGAGAATAATTAAAGTTGGGGGCGCCGAGTCGTTGTGTAATCACCATTTTAATCCCCAACGCACACCTTCTCGCTTCAGTGTCTTGCATAAGTGGATCTGTATTCATTAGAAAGAATGTGCGTGCGTGCGTGGAAGGTAAATACAGATGGCAGGGTCGCCAACCTGTGGATGAGCTGTCAGGGAAGGAGCCCGCCCACCCCCACAACCTACTGCCCCGCTCGCGAATAATACTGGAACATTCAGGCCTTCAAACTCAGTGAAGTTCAGGGGCCACATTGGCCCCAATTTGATATCGAGTGGGCGGCTCCACCACAGTGGTTTTGTGCAGGCCGAACGGCTGGCCGGATTTGTCTCCATTGTTTTGCTGCGAGTGATGATAAGAGCATTCATAAACACTTTGTGATGGTTAGCATTATTGTTAGCCAATGAGCAATAGGAAATTAGCACGTTAGCCTCACAGTGCAGAGGTGCAGGGTTCGATTCCGGCTCCGGCGTTCCTGTGTGGAGTTTGCATGTTCTCCCCATGCCTGCGTGGCTTTTCTCCGGGTACTCCGGTTTCCTCTCCCATTCCAAAAATATGCATGACAGGTTGACTGAACACTCGAAACGGTCCCTCGGTGTGATTGCGAGCGCGGATGGTTGTTCGTCTATGTGTGCCCTGCGATTGGCTGGCGACCAGTTCAGGGTGTCTGTCGCCCAGTGCCGTAAAAGCATGACGAAATGTAATTGGAGCAAATGTGTTCTTTCAGAAGGGTGTATGAAATCGTTGACGCTAATCAGCAGCCAATAAGTCGTTCTCAGCCTCAAAAAGGTTTGTGAGACCCGCTCGATAGCGTTCCAGTTTGGACGGACACACGGCCTCGTCTCAAAGCTTCCAATATTTGGCCTTGTGAAATTCCGGTGTTATTCTTTGTCAGTTGTTATGGGAGCATTTCTCTCCCTCACTTTGGACACGAGAAACTGAGATTCACCCCCTTGTCTTTATCTTCTGCTCAAAAGCTGTGCTAATCTCAGCTCTTTGTGGCGTGCTCATCATGGCAACCTTGGTGGCAGTATAAGAGTGAGACAGTGACAGAACAAACAGACTCTAGATTGAAAGGGCAGAAAACAGTGTCCCTTCGAGTCCAAACGCCTGTTTGTGCGGCACTTTTCCAAGTCTGCTCTTTCCAGACTGTTGTTTTCTGGCGCTGTGGCGCGAGCAGCAGAGAGACTGCTCCGTGCCATCTCTTGTCACAGATCGACGGGAAACCCGAGCGGGCCGGCAGATGTGCCTACGCGGCGCCCGTGCTAGCAGGGGCGACTTTCCCATCAACGGGAATGGAAAGCATGGAAATGAGCCGAGCATCAGGAGCGTGCGCGTCCCATGTTCATATCCGTGGGTGTTGTTTACTGGAGTGCGCTCGAGTCACGTGACACGGTGACGCGTATACTGCTCAATGGGGCCGATGTGTTGAGCAAGCGTTTGTCAGAGATAAGAAATATTCCTGGATTGAAAAAAAAAACCTACTGGTAGATGATACATTTACTTGCACCGCCTCCAATTTGACATTTCACATCATTTGAGGCGTGTTAAATTTGGGTGTTTCGAGCGAGGATCAGAATTGCGCAGTTGGGCTTTTTTTTCCGGACATGGTCGGAGTTTCAAATGTTTCGAGTTTCAAATTAGGGTTTCAAGCGGCAGCCTCTGTTTTGAAATGTCGGTTTTGAGCCAAAGTTCCAGTTTCAAATCGGGTTGCCAGCCTTGTGTCAGGATTCCAAATGAAGCTATCGAGTGAGGGTAAGTTTTCAAGCCAGCGATGGCCTTTCAAAATCAGGTTCCCGACACTTGACCTCCCTGAAGTGCTGAATGGACCTTTTGAGGCCAAATTGGAATATTTCCTGATTCTGTCCCGCCTCTGTCGGCTGCCAGAAAACAAACAAAACGTCTTTTATAGCCACTCAGCCAAATGAGCGGAAAGCAGATCGTGACAACGCGTCAACGTCGTTGTCATAAGTCATCGCGGCCTTTCGCTGGGCAAGCTTCCGGCGCCTCTGCGACTGCGCCGCAGGAAAATCTTCATCCGCCACTTTGGTCTTCTTCTTTCCTCGTGCGCTCTTGATACAATGGCCACTTTTCACAGGGTTCAACGACCTTTAGCCGAGCCGCGCGTGTGCGCGTGCGTGCTCCCCAAAGTGCCCGTTCTGCCGTGCAATAAAGTGCTGCCGCGGTCACCTGCAGCCAGGCACGGAGGGATCCTTCGTCTCCACATGCACCACAGCATTGAGTGAGGGTTTGGCTTTCCAAGTAGGGCGTACAAAACCTGGGTTAGTGTTTTCCAAGTTTAAAAGTAGGATTTCAAGACAATGTTATGCACGTCTGACGTAACAAGCCCTTTTCCATCCCCAAAAATTGGTGCTCGTTGGGCGACGGGGCCAGCGCTCTGCTTAGTTGGCGCTTAACCAAGTCCTTACGAAAAATGTGTTCGCCTTTCCACCGGCAGCCAAGTGGGAGCGACATCACCACGTCATTGTAAAGTGTCCAAACATGGCCGACGTTTATCCAAGAGCGCCTCATGCCCTGTTAGCAATTTAGCATAGCATCAATTACACTTGTGTGTAGTCTGGGATGTTTCAGCACACGATGTACCGAGAGAAAGGAAATATGTTGATGCAACATGCGGACCGTGTGTGGATTTTTTTTTTTTTTTTTTTGCCACGTGCTTCAATGTCTTGATGCAGAACGGTTGTTTTGCATGATCCAAAACACCGCAGCTTCAACTTGCAAAAGAGAGTTGCGTCGATTGAAGCGGCTACTCCACACAGTTGAAACATTGGTGGCGAGCTGGCACTCGGCTTTAATTTGACGGTGGACCCGCCGCACGGCAGGCTTCTATTTGGCCTTCGACTGACTTTGCTTCCAGGTGTCTCAGTCACGAGGAGGGATTCTCATCATTGCAGCGGTGCTATTTTCAGACCGTCAAAGCAATCAGATCCTCCTGTCATTTTCCCCGAATTGATCTGTAATCCGCAACGGAACAGAGATTAAAATGTGGAAACGGTCCAGATTGAGAATGTTTGGTGAGTTAGTCGCGAGTAAGTGTTCTTCTGTTGTATTTCCGTGAAAAGCGACATTTTCCGGTTTCACTTCGATGATGACGGACGATTGCATTTTATTCTTTCGTTTCTGAGATCATGGACCGAAATATAAAATGCTTTCATTTTTGTTTTGTTTTACTCTGCCCAGGTGTTTACACTCCAAATTCCCCAAAGGGGGATTTCGTTTGTTGTGTGGAAACCTGCCTCACATTCAGTCCAGTTAATCAGTCATATTGCTCAGACGATGCGGTTCTGTCATTTCATGGGTTCTCCTGTCCTCCCTTGCCTCCAGGTACTGACTGACCAAATATTTCAGAACACCGGAGAGACAGAGAACTTGTGTTACGATGGGGGGACTCACGTTCTCAATAAAACCCTCACGAAAACCTGCTCCATCCTACCGAAAAGTGTCCCATGTAGATGGGAGTCACCGATAGGCATCCCGTCTTTAGAGACCGCCGCCTCCCTCACTAAACAGCATCATCAATAACATTCAAGAAACAACATGCGTCCGTCCCTCGCCACCGCTGTCCTCCCAGCCAGGACCCGCACCCACAACGCGCCCAATTTGGCAATCGGGGGCCGCGAGCACCTCGCGGCGCCCCGGAGACGCAGCCCCAACCTTCGGCACACTCTCAGCCCGGAGAACCTCCGCAGCCTGGCGGAAAGGGGCGGGGCCTCACTGGATGCTGTGTCTATGGTGGGCGGGCCCGTCGGCCTGTCCCGCGCCAACAGCGACACCGACCTGGTGAGCTCGCAAACCAGGTCCTCGCTGACAGCGTCCACCCTGGACTTCACGCTGAACCGGGGCCAGACACTCGTCATATCCTGGGATATCAAGGAGGAAGTGGATGCCACCGACTGGATTGGCCTCTACCATATCGGTAAGACTGTGATTGTGGAACGTCAGTTTTTGTTTTGAATGGGAATATATTGACATGGAATGAAGACTCGATTGCCAAGAAGCAGCATGGACTCAAAAACAAAAATAATTTCGTTTCCAAAACAACAAAAACAAATATATATATGAAATATAAATGTGTCTTGTCTTATTCATGTGTTGGATGTATGCCTTTAATGGGTGTGACATTTTGTATTTGTGTCTGACTGTTTTTTGTTTTCTTTCAACTGTTCCTGGACAATCAGCATTCGGGGCACCAACTGGTTTCAGGTTGTGTTCTGGTCTCCCATTATTCTCCAGATGAGACCAGTCCATCAAACGTGTGGGATTGTAAGAACCGAGGGGTCAACGGCACCCAGAAGGGTCAGATAGTTTGGAGGCTGGAGGCGGGGCCCTACTTCATGGAACGTGAGTGACTCAGATGAGGCCACGGATACCAGTTGCATCATAACAGGGCGCATGAAAAAGACTCATGCCATTTGAACACAAAGTAAGACATTTGGAGTTAAAGCAGCCATTTCGGTCGAATCGCGGGGTTTGCTCTTTGGCGAGTTCCAAGGAGGGGACTCACCCAAATGAGCCAAAGAGGCAGAAAACAAATCATGGGGGGGTGCGTGGGCTCCTTCAACACTGCTCACAGCACCAACTGTTTTTGCCACCCCATCTCACAGCGGAGACCAGGATCTGTTTCAAGTACTATCACGGAGTGAGCGGAGCCCTGAGAGCAACGACCAGCCATTTCGGTCGAAGCGCGGGGTTTGCTCTTTGGCGAGTTCCAAGGAGGGGACTCACCCAAATGAGCCAAAGAGGCAGAAAACAAATCATGGGGGGGTGCGTGGGCTCCTTCAACACTGCTCACAGCACCAACTGTTTTTGCCACCCCATCTCACAGCGGAGACCAGGATCTGTTTCAAGTACTATCACGGAGTGAGCGGAGCCCTGAGAGCAACGACCCCCTGCATCACTGTGAAGAATACAGCTGTCCTGGTGTGTCACTTATGCAGAGAATCCCCTCACTCCACACACACACCCGCAACCCCGACCACCCTGCCACCCTGAATTTAAAGAGTTCACAATTGTTTTGCCCACGTGCAAATGGAACCACTATTTTAAATCATCCTGACTTTTTTTTAGGTGGAGGGTCTTGCTGAGCAGGTGGGTGTCGAACATCCTCGGAAACTGATAAGCTTCACGTTAACAGGTGAGTTGACATGTTTTCATACGTTTCAGTACTGTACACCCACAACCAGATAAATATGTGTGAGAATAAGATGACTGTACAGTCAATCTCCCCCCCCCAAACCGCGGTCCAAGTGTTCAGTGGTTTGGATTACGGCACCTCCACCGACACCACTCGGCGTGCGACTGAAATGTCCCAAGTTCTGCAACTTGATGTGTGCTTGCAGATCTGCGTGCCACCGGCCTGAAGAAAGGCATGTTCTTCCATCCGGATCCCTACCTCAAGATGTCCATCCACCCCGGGAAGGGGAGTGTCTTTCCTGTGTTCAGCCACCACGGACAGGAGCGTCGCTCGGCCATCATTGCCAACACTGTCAATCCGGTTTGGCATGGAGAGGTCACTATGACATTCTTTCAGATCAAGCCCAAACAAACCCAAAAAGCAACATTGACTCGAAACCTAAACCTTTCATTCATCACGATACCGAAAGGATCATCTCACAATTAATTACCTGACAGCTGAACCCTGAACCCATACCCCAGCCCTATTCCCTAACCCCTAACCTCTAACCCTTCAGTTCATTTCCCATAAGGGGAGCCTAAGCCTGAACCCTTCGTCCCTAACCTTAACCCCATAACCCACTAATCCTCCCTCATGCCCTTGAACCAAAACCTTCACCCAAAGAGCAAGCCTTGAATTGAGTTCATCACCATCCCATCACCCCTACCCGTTAGCCCCAACCCTGTTTTCCTAAACCTGCCCGGCCCCCAACTACACTCCTAACCAAGGTCGATGTGGGTCTCTCTTTCCAGAAATATACATTTGTAGCGCTGCTGACAGACGGCCCTCACTGGATGCTGTGTCTATGGTGGGCGGGCCCGTCGGCCTGTCCCGCGCCAACAGCGACACCGACCTGGTGAGCTCGCAAACCAGGTCCTCGCTGACAGCGTCCACCCTGGACTTCACGCTGAACCGGGGCCAGACACTCGTCATATCCTGGGATATCAAGGAGGAAGTGGATGCCACCGACTGGATTGGCCTCTACCATATCGGTAAGACTGTGATTGTGGAACGTCAGTTTTTGTTTTGAATGGGAATATATTGACATGGAATGAAGACTCGATTGCCAAGAAGCAGCATGGACTCAAAAACAAAAATAATTTCGTTTCCAAAACAACAAAAACAAATATATATATGAAATATAAATGTGTCTTGTCTTATTCATGTGTTGGATGTATGCCTTTAATGGGTGGCATTTTGCATATTTGTGTCTGACTGTTTTTTGTTTTCTTTCAACTGTTCCTGGACAATCAGCATTCGGGGCACCAACTGGTTTCAGGTTGTGTTCTGGTCTCCCATTATTCTCCAGATGAGACCAGTCCATCAAACGTGTGGGATTGTAAGAACCGAGGGGTCAACGGCACCCAGAAGGGTCAGATAGTTTGGAGGCTGGAGGCGGGGCCCTACTTCATGGAACGTGAGTGACTCAGATGAGGCCACGGATACCAGTTGCATCATAACAGGGCGCATGAAAAAGACTCATGCCATTTGAACACAAAGTAAGACATTTGGAGTTAAAGCAGCCATTTCGGTCGAATCGCGGGGTTTGCTCTTTGGCGAGTTCCAAGGAGGGGACTCACCCAAATGAGCCAAAGAGGCAGAAAACAAATCATGGGGGGGTGCGTGGGCTCCTTCAACACTGCTCACAGCACCAACTGTTTTTGCCACCACATCTCACAGCGGAGACCAGGATCTGTTTCAAGTACTATCACGGAGTGAGCGGAGCCCTGAGAGCAACGACCCCCTGCATCACTGTGAAGAATACAGCTGTCCTGGTGTGTCACTTATGCAGAGAATCCCCTCACTCCACACACACACCCGCAACCCCGACCAGCCCTGCCACCCTGAATTTAAAGAGTTCACAATTGTTTTGCCCACGTGCAAATGGAACCACTATTTTAAATCATCCTGACTTTTTTTTAGGTGGAGGGTCTTGCTGAGCAGGTGGGTGTCGAACATCCTCGGAAACTGATAAGCTTCACGTTAACAGGTGAGTTGACATGTTTTCATACGTTTCAGTACTGTACACCCACAACCAGATAAATATGTGTGAGAATAAGATGACTGTACAGTCAATCTCCCCCCCCCAAACCGCGGTCCAAGTGTTCAGTGGTTTGGATTACGGCACCTCCACCGACAAGATAAATATGTGTGAGAATAAGATGACTGTACAGTAAATCTCCCCCCCCAAACTGCGGTCCAAGTGTTCAATGGTTTGGATGACGGCACCTCCACCGACGCCACTCGGCGTGCGACTGAAATGTCCCAAGTTCTGCAACTTGATGTGTGCTTGCAGATCTGCGTGCCACCGGCCTGAAGAAAGGCATGTTCTTCCATCCGGATCCCTACCTCAAGATGTCCATCCACCCCGGGAAGAGGAGTGTCTTTCCTGTGTTCAGCCACCACGGACAGGAGCGTCGCTCGGCCATCATTGCCAACACTGTCAATCCGGTTTGGCATGGAGAGGTCACTATGACATTCTTTCAGATCAAGCCCAAACAAACCCAAAAAGCAACATTGACTCGAAACCTAAACCTTTCATTCATCACGATACCGAAAGGATCATCTCACAATTAATTACCTGACAGCTGAACCCTGAACCCATACCCCAGCCCTATTCCCTAACCCCTAACCTCTAACCCTTCAGTTCATTTCCCATAAGGGGAGCCTAAGCCTGAACCCTTCGTCCCTAACCTTAACCCCATAACCCACTAATCCTCCCTCATGCCCTTGAACCAAAACCTTCACCCAAAGAGCAAGCCTTGAATTGAGTTCATCACCATCCCATCACCCCTACCCGTTAGCCCCAACCCTGTTTTCCTAAACCTGCCCGGCCCCCAACTACACTCCTAACCAAGGTCGATGTGGGTCTCTCTTTCCAGAAATATACATTTGTAGCGCTGCTGACAGACATCCTGTACATTGAAGTCAAGGACAAATTTGCCAAAAGTCGACCCATCATCAAGCGCTTCCTTGGCCAGTTGACCATCCCCGTGCAGCGGCTTCTTGAGAAAATATCCGGGTAGGTAATCTCCGGCCAAATGTGGTCTTACTGCACTGAAAAGTAATACTGGCCTATGCCAAAATAATACATAGATAAGTCCTACGTTTTTCTGTGTCTCAGAGTCCAGCCTGTGACTTTTCCCCTGTGCCGACGCCTCCCCACGGAGCACGTCAGCGGACAGCTGCAGTTCAAAGTTGAACTCACTTTGACTGGACCCGATGGTAAGATATTTGGGACCGAGACACGACGCGAATGGAAGAAAAAAAAATTCACTGGACCTGTGCCAAACCCTCCCGATATATTAACTGCCGATGTTTGTGTTGTCAACTCTAAATGTACCACAATCTCTGATGCCAAGCATTTGAAAGTCATGTCAAACTAATCTTACAACATGACCCTTGAAAATAGATGGGTCACAGATGATGTTCCTCCTGCCCAGGTGCCTCTCCAGATTCCATCATTGGCCTTTCGACCTTCAATGGAGCTCCGGGGACGCCTTCAGATGACGAGGACCTTCCTCATCACCTTCCAGGAGTGGTTTCACCTGAGCCCTCCCCCACCGGATCGCAGAGTTCTCAAGGTATGTGGGAAGGCGGGGCAGCAGCGGCAGCCTCCCCGGAAAAGGAACTGCTACTCGTCAGAGCCGGTGCGAGGTTTTTGGACCGGCACGAGTTGCTCCAGAGGTCTCTCAGCGAGGGTCTGGATGCTATCGAGGCCCCCAAGGGTCCCGGGGAAAGGCCGTTGGGTGCGGCCTCGCCAAAACTGCGCTCCAGCTTCCCCACGCACACGCGGCTCAGCGACATGTTGCACATCGACTCGGATGAGGATGATGAGCGCTCCGGGTTTGGAGAAATGCCTCCCATGCTGCCCTCTCCGCTGCTACTTAATGGCGACCCTCCGGATAATAGCGGTCCCGATGACGACGTGCCGTCTCCTGAGCTGCAGCTGGTCCCGGAGCAATCTGGCGATGAAGAACCAGAGACTGCGGGTACTCAAGAGACAGCCCAGGTGGCCCCCAAGGTGGAGGCCAGTCTGGAAAAGGAGGACATTCTGGAGGCAGACGTCTTCTCCGAGGCGGAGGAAGCGCTTTTCACAGAGGCCACGTCCCGCACTGCTTTGCCAGAGGGTGGAGAGGCGGGAAGAGGACCGACCGAGGAGCCTTCTTCAGAGGTGGACACGTGCTCCATGGCCACAGCCCCGCAGACGGTCGTGTCTTCCTCAGATAGTTGCCCAATCACGTTGACCACAGCTCTGGTGAGTTCTTGGTCCTCTTTCGACCCAGAGATCTCCTTCTCTTTCGCTGTTGTTCACACCATTTTGGTAGCGCCACGCTACGTTGCGGACTCTTCAGTGTTGGTTAAGCAACAAAATACAAATACTTTCATACTGTATTGCGGTATGTTTTTCAGGTAGTTGTACTTTAATGGGGGATTTCTTTTTCTGACTTTTGTCCCAATGTTTTGCCCGCCCTCGCCCTCCACCCATGAAAAAGTCATAATTTTTTTTTCCTTTCTGCTAACCTTGTAGGAAGCAGATGAAGGGGCCGATGCAGCCATCGATCCGGGGGGAGATGTGGTTGGTGGCACCCCATCGTCCACTCCGCCTGTAGGCTGTGAGGATGGCGGGCTTGGCATTTGTCCCGAGGCCGAAGGAGAAGCAGCCTTGCCTCTGGAATCCCAGGAGGTAGTCGTGAGAAAGCCGAGTCTGCGGGCGGCAGGCAGCATGTCCGAAGAACCGGACGGCAATGAGTCTAAGCCGCATGAGGAGACGGGATCTGCGGAGTCCGAGCAAGTTACCACAGAAACAGATGGAGAGGAAGGTATGGCGAGGTCTGTTGACTTTTCCGCAGTCACGTCAAGGCTTAGGCTCCAACTTCACATGATCACTCCAGCTGAATATGTCGAGACACAAGATCTGTACTGGGACAAAATCCTCAGTTTATCTTTGTCTGTTCCCAGGCACGCCTGTCAACGGTCACCCTGTTCGGTCGCTTCCATCTGTACGGCATGACATTCACCGTTACCAACGAGTGGACGAGCCCCTGCCACCGAGTAAGGACTTTATGTCTCGATGGCTGGGATACCTGCTTCTGATTAGGTGGATCATCTAGTCGAGTGCAAGCCCTGAAATTCCCTCAAAATGGCTGAATCCACCCCAAGTAGCCAACTTCTTGCTTCGTGTCAGGCTATCTACTTTTTCCGTCCATCCATGTGCACTGATCGATGGGTGAAACTTGTGCCTTGCAACTGATGTTTGGATCCAACTTTCCAACTAAGTGTGAGCCCTAGAATTGAAGCAAAATGGTCAATTTCCTGTTCCCATGCAGGCATGGTTCCGTCAGAGTTTTTGAGTGTCCTGTTATAACCGGTATGTCCACCCAGTTTCGTGTTGCTGTGTGAAAGTTTTTGTTGTTTTTTTGGGGGTTACCCTCTTCTGGTAAAATGCATGCTCTGTAGGGTTTACGTCTGGAGATTGACTCAACCGGTCAAAAATCCTCAACTTCTTTTGCATCCACTGAACTCTTTTGCTCTTCTCGATCTGGTAAAATTCTGTCGGGTATCTTCTAGAGCGCTTTTGTTCACTAAGTCTTCAATGAAGTGCAGCTTATGAGATCTCCTTTTGGAAGTTGATGCTGAACACAGCCCTGCTTGTGTTCTCTCAGACTGGGAGGCCCGGATCGACAGTCATGGCAGGATCTTTTTTGTGGACCACGTGAACAGGACCACCACGTGGCAGAGGCCTACTGGACCCCCGGCGCCACAGGGCCTGACCCGGTCCAACTCCATTCAGCAGATGGAGCAACTCAACCGCAGGTGAGAGTTGACAAAAATGTGAACTGGTGCAGCAATCGGTGTCATGGTTTCTCTTCCCCGCCCCAAAAAAGATTCAAAATTAGTCATATTTGCGTCATTTTGTGCGAATCATTTTGGAGAAAAGTGAAAAAAGAAACAAAGAAAACCAGATCCGAGGAGCCACCCTTGCTGGGTATGACATTTAAAAACTTTTTCGTGGATTGAACTGGTAAGGTCATTGTTATTTTCTGCCTGTGAATTCAAGAGTTGTCTCCCAGAGTCGCTCAGGGACATTCCTCGTAAGGATGCTCCACAGAGTCTCAATAGTACGAATAAGTCCTTTGAGGAACTGTTTTGTTTTTTTTTTCTTTCGGAAATGCAACAGCTCAAACTTGACACCGTATTTTTTGTCCTTTCCTTAACCAGATACCAGAGCATCAGAAGGACCATAACCAACAGTGATAGAACAGAAGAAAGCACCGCTGACCTGCTCCCTGAACCAGAACCCGAACTGATTCCTCACTCCATTTCCGGTCGGTTTGAACACACCTATGGTAGACTGACATTCTGCGTACGACCAGCATGCCTTTGTCTTTGCTCTCTCGTAGAATACAGACGAGACGGCGTCGTTGCTCACTCGAACGGTCGTTCCCGTCTGTCGTTGCTGCTCCAGTCGCCCAGCGCCAAGTTCCTGTGCAGTCCCGACTTCTTTACTGTGCTGCATTCTAACCCCGTCAGTGACCTCCGCTGCTTAGCGACCCTGCTTCGTTAACCCGCACGCTGAGTCCCTTCATGTCCTTAGTTGTGTCCAAATGTTCTGCATGGATGTCATTTCAAGTCATGACTTTGTAAGTCAGCAAACCTGGGGCTCGTTTGAACAAATCCCCTGATAGGACTTCTATGCCGTCGGAGCCTTTTGGTGCATGTTGAGGCCTCGTCATAGCAAACGAATCGGCAGACTTAGATCACCTCCGCTCGGCAGGGGGAAGAAAATAGCATCAAACGCATGTGAGTGAGCCTTCAAAGCTCAGTCTTTCTCTCCTCTCCAGAGTGCCTACCGCATGTTTACGAGCAACACCTGCCTGAAGCATATGATCAGCAAGGTGCGGCGAGACGCTCACTACTTTGAGCGCTACCAGCACAACCGAGACTTGGTCACCTTCCTCAACATGTTCTCCAACAAGCAGCTGGAGCTTCCCCGAGGGTGGGAAATGAAACACGACCAAACCGGGAAGGTGGGTGGGAGCCATTTTCAGCAATGTGACAATGACCGCCGAAATGACCTTTCGTGCTCGTTTCCACACACTTCCCCTCCTAACCGATAGCGACGACTTGCCCCGTGCTCTCTAAGCTTTAAGTTTGGGGTGTGACATGGCTGTTCCATGACCTTCCACTTATTGTCTCTGTTGGTTTTGAGGGATGAGTCCCTTCAGTCTCCTTTCACGCAGGTCAAGTGCATGCTCTGTGCATTTGGAGTCAAGAGATTGACCGGTCTCCAATCTTCCACTTTTTGACGGCAATAAATTCCTTTGTTTTGTTTTGTTTTGCTTAGCCATGTCGAAAACCTTTCCATTCTTGCCCGTGATGAACTTGTTGCAGCTCTCCTTTGTTGTTTTGTGTCGTTATCTTTGTTCTTGTTTTGGAGTGGTTACTCCCTTAAGAATAGGTCAAATGCATGCTCGACAGTGTTTAGGTCGGGAGAGTGACTTGGCCTGTCTATGAGCTTCCACTTCTTGCCCTTGATGAAACCCTTCTTCATTTTGGCATCGTGACTCGCTGTGTACGCGTCCTCTAGAAGGGAACACATCACTCTGATACCAAAGGTCGTTGAAAAAAATGAGCTCATACTGCAGTTGTTGTTGAAGCGTGGTGTCAAGTTGTCTCTAAGAGGATAATGGCTTCCTCCCAGATCCCAAAGAACAGGTAGTTTGTCATAGTAGGCTTCGTTATTCCAGTTCTTGGGAGGGTGGCGGTGCGGAAGGCGAGCACCGAACGGACGCGCGGCGCAACTAAAAGTATTTGCGTCTCGCCCCCTCAGCCCTTCTTTGTGGATCACAACTGTCGTTCCACAACCTTCATCGATCCACGGCTGCCTCTCCAGAGTTCGCGCTCCACCGGGCTGCTGGCCCACCGCCAGCACCTGAGCCGCCAACGCAGCCACAGCGCCGGCGAGGTGAGTCACCGCGCGTTACCGCAGCGACGGCCCGGTGGCCCTGACGCCTTGTGGTCGTCGGGCACGCAGCCAGCTTGTCCTGGGCTCACACATTCACTCTCCGATTGACGATGTTTGTTTCTTAAAAAGAATTGCAGTCGTGCCCTGACATATGAGTCGAATGGATTCCTTGGCCACGCTCATATCTCAAGCCATCGTCTCCGATTGAATTGAATGGCAATGCCGTCAATCCGTTCCAGCCTCCAGAAAACAAAACAGAACAAAGCATTTCTGTCGTCTTTTTTTCATGAGAAAAATAGCACTCCAAAATATCACATTTCACAAAATCATCCCGTGATGGCAGAAGTAAATAGACTCAAAAAAAAAAAGTGTTTGTCAGCATTTCCTCGACTTCTGGTGTTTACCTATTCCCCGCTTCTCGTGAATGGAGTTGAGCCAGCGGCCACTATAGTGCGCTTATATCTCAAAAAAACGACCCGATCGTCGGCTAGTAACTCAAAAAATCATCAGTGGGGTCACTTGTGTCTCGAGGCCAGTTGAGGGCATAGCCCGCCAAAATGATGGGACAAAATGAGCGAGTGTGTGCACGGGTGTCAGAACTCGGATGCGTCCTGAGCCTTCAGCGCCTCCTTCTGCCGCAGGTGGCCGACGACTCGCGGCAAAGCAACTCGCCCGCCGTGCCGCGACCTTCCAGCACCTTCAGCGGGTCCAGTCGCTCCAGCCAGTACCACGACGTTGTGCCCGTGGGTACGTGAGCGGAAAAAACAGCACGCCGGGCCAAGGCCACGCCCCTTTGATGTCATCTTTCTTTCTCACTGTGGTCCCGCAGCCTACAATGACAAGATTGTGGCCTTCCTCAGGCAGCCCAACGTCTTTGAGGTATTGCAGGAAAGACAACCGGAGCTCGCCAGGAACAACTCGCTCAAGTAGGTCCCGCTGTCTCATCTTCAGCATCATCCACCTTGAATTCGGTGAGGGAAGCCTCAGTGAGTCTGCGGTGTGTTTGCAGGGAGAAGGTGCAGTTCATCCGCAGCGAGGGCGCCATCGGGCTGGTGCGTCTCTCCGGGGACGCCGACCTCGTCATGCTGCTCAGGTCAGTCCTGGGCTCTTTTGAGTGAGGTCTCTCTCGATTAATCTCTCGATTCATTTTATTTTTCCCTCCGCAGCTTATTTGAAGACGAGGTGATGTCGTACGTGCCACCTTTGCTCCACCCAAATTACAGCCTGTCCTCATCTCCTCAGAGTTCCCCGGGTGAGACAATTTTTGCAGCAGCCTGGCCCGGAGGGCACTTCTGTGGACTTTGGACCCCATTGTCTCTCCGTCTCCCGTATGTTTTTCTTGTTTTTTCTCTGTTAGGCACCCAACGAGCCAACGCGCGTGCTCCGGCGCCCTACAAGCGAGATTTTGAGGCTAAACTGAGGAACTTCTATCGGAAACTGGAGACTAAAGGATATGGACAGGGACCGGGGAAAGTCAAGTATGTGCAACCTCCTCAACTGCTTCGCACAGCGGCCTCACATTGCGGCGGGGCAGGGTTGGATTCCGGCTCCGGCCTTGCTGTGTGGAGTTTGCATGTTCTCCCCGGTTTTCTCCGGGCACTCCGGTTTCCTCCCACATTCCCAAAACATGCATGCTTGGTTGATTGAACGCTCACAGGTGTCAAAGTCACGGCCTGAGGGCCGGATCCGGCCTGCCACGTCTTTTAATGCGGCCCGCGAAAGCGACAAAAGCGAGTTTGACACCCCTGCTCTAAATTGTCCTTCGGTCGATTGTGAGCGCAGAGGGTTGTTTGTCGGTGTGTGCCCCGCGATTGGTTGGCCAACCCTTGAGGGCGCACCCCGTCATCTCGTGCCCGAAGACGGCCGGGATAGGCTCCGGCACGCCCGCAGCCCTCCTGAGGAAAAGCACATTTGAAAACGCATGGATGGATAGTGTGCCGCGACCCGCCGTTAACGCTAACAACCGCGGTGCGTGTGCCCTCAGGCTCATCATACGGCGGGACCACCTCCTGGAGGACGCCTTCAACCAAATCATGTGTTACTCCCGCAAAGACCTGCAGAGGAGTAAACTTTACGTCAGCTTCGTCGGCGAGGACGGGTGAGAATAAGCGATCAACGCCTCGCACGTGGCTGACTTTTGGTCCGGCGGCAATGGAGGTCGATGACGTGGCGATGTGATTACGTTTGGGGCCCGGGGGGCAGGCTGGACTACAGCGGCCCGTCCAGAGAGTTCTTCTTCCTGGTGTCCAGAGAGCTTTTCAACCCTTACTACGGCCTGTTTGAATACTCGGCCAACGACACGTACACGGTCCAAATCAGCCCCATGTCGGCCTTTGTGGATAATCACCACGAATGGTGAGGCGGTGAGCCTTTACGAGTGTTTGTTGCACCTCTCGGAAACGCTTGTGTTTGGTGTCCCAAGGTTTCGTTTTAGCGGGCGCATTCTGGGACTGGCTCTGGTTCATCAGTATCTGCTGGATGCCTTCTTTACTCGTCCTTTCTACAAGGGGCTGCTCCGCATGTAAGTCCCGCAACCGGACGCTTTGAGACAAGCGCATGCCAGAATTTATGAATTGAATATTGACGTCGTTTAGGGTATCTCATCCTGCCCACATTTGGGGAAATGCCGTCGCAGGCTGTGCACCTTTTCAACGGCACGACTTTTTTGGAATTTACAGTCGTGTCATTTCAGCTTGCGCAACTCTGTGGAATTTAAGCTCGTTTTATTTTGACCAGCGAAAGCCATCCAGGATTTATGATAAACTTCATTTTGACCCTATCCAACATTTGTGATAGTGATGGGAGTCAAATAACAAACCTGTGCAATTTTAGGGGCGTTTCATTCGACCCGGGCAACTTTCGATGCAATTGACCGGAGTCTGACTTGATCCCGCACGACTTTTGAGATGTTTTACAACGATTTACTTGCTTGCTCATGCAGACCGTGTGACCTGAGCGACCTGGAGTTCCTGGATGAGGAATTCCACCAGAGCCTGCAGTGGATGAAGGACAACGACATCGAGGACATGCTGGATCTCACTTTCACAGTCAACGAGGAGGTCTTCGGACAGGTACGCACTTGAGGCTCAACAGCCCACGATTATAAATCTCTCCAAAGTTGCATGGTTTGAAATAAACTGACTGGAAATCCACCCACGTTACACAGGTTAATGCACAAGTCATCTGTAAATCCAGCACGTTGCGCTGGTCAAGACAAACTTATCGAAATCCCCCCAAAGTGCGTCCGGTGTACTCCATTCGAGTACTTGTTTGACCGTGCAGATCACCGAGCGAGAGCTGAAGCCCGGCGGAGCCGGCATCCCCGTGACGGAGAAGAACAAGAAGGAGTACATCGAGCGCATGGTCAAGTGGCGCATCGAGAGGGGCGTGGCTCAGCAAACCGAAAGCTTGGTCCGAGGCTTCTACGAGGTAGCGCCCACTTCCGATGAGCCGCAAAATTCACCGCATCCAAATGGCAACTTTTGCATCTCATTTCTGCTGCGCTTGGTGTCCGTTCAGGTGGTGGACGTGCGACTGGTGTCGGTGTTCGACGCCAGAGAGCTGGAGCTGGTCATCGCCGGCACGGCCGAGATCGACCTGGCCGACTGGAGGAACAACACCGAGTACAGAGGAGGTCAGTGCGGCAAGCGCCAACGCAGGCCAAAGCGTTTGCTCACATTTGGCGGTAAAAATCGGGCCAGAGGAAAATATCACGCATATATATATATATATATATATATATATATATATATATATATATATACAGTTAAAAAATCACAAATAAAATAAAAAGCCATTTAAAAATGTTTTACATAGTAATGAAAATAACCTGATTATCAAGTCATATAAGATTTTTTTTTTTTTTATTTTCCTGAACAAAAATAACATTAACATTCCAAATTATGCATGAAATGGTGAACGAAACAGTGTTTTGTTTTTTTGGGGGGGATAAATCATTTTAGAGTCATAAGGTATCTGAAAATATCATGTTCTGTCGATCCAAATGAATGACGGCACGACTTGGTTCTTTGTGATTCCTCTGACGCAAGCTCTGCCACCTCCCCCCACCCCTCCTCCCTCCCGCAGGTTACCATGACAACCACATCGTGATACGCTGGTTCTGGGCAGCTGTGGAGCGGTTCAACAATGAGCAGAGGCTGCGACTACTGCAGGTGGGGGCACGTGGACCCGCACATGCGCACATGCTGCCACCGCCTGGCCATTAGGCTGTACTGTCTCGACAAAACAAACAACTGCAGCAAAAAAAAACCAAAAAAAAAACAACAAAAAAACCCAACGATTTGCTTTGGCATTTGCAAGATGCGGCTGGCCCGCCGAGTCATTTTATGCGGCCAGCGAATGCTTGCTGCTTCAATTGCAAATAACCACAACCCTCCCCATACTTCACAGGTACAAATGAGACAACGTGAAAGCCGCCCAAAATTGCACACGTTGAATAAACTAAAAGTAAAATACCTTTAATGCCCTCAAAATCCCACACGTTGAAATGAAACTCCTGCAAATCCCTCTGAACATGCCGTCAAGCTCTTAGAAGAATGTCCCCCCGCATGTGTAGTTTGTGACAGGCACGTCCAGTATTCCTTACGAGGGCTTCGCCTCGCTGCGTGGAAGCAACGGACCCCGCAGGTTCTGTGTGGAGAAGTGGGGCAAGATCACCTCCTTACCCAGGTAGGTTTTCCCAAACTCGCCACACAACCTGATGTCATCGCAACGGGCCCCAATGAAAAGGTCGCGTGAACCAAGCTGAACAGGAAGGCGGCCACTTTGGGTTCGCTTTCTTTCAAGTCGAGATGGAACTTACTGAAAGTGACCCCAAGAGCAAGCGGGTCTGCTCCGCAGATGGGCGGAGCTCAGTTCGGAAGTTTCCTCACCCGTGGGTCGCGTCAAACTTTCTCATTCGCTGGCGCCACCTGCAACGTGAGGAAACAGGAGCCCGTGACATCACTTCCGGCAACGATTTTCGTTGTTCTTTGACTGAAAACTTTCCCATTTGTACAAGCAAGTGGGTTTTGGTGTTAGTGTTTCTATCTTAGGGGTCCTGGAACCCCGCCCCCTTTACCCTCCAAAAAAAACCTCAGTAGTGCCCCCTGGAAAGTTCGGAGAAAAATCGCTAACCCGCTAATTATCAATTGTGGGGTTTCAGCATTCCTGAAGACTTTTCCTGAAGAGTTTTTGAAAATGTGTTGAAATGTTCTAATTTCAAGGGCCCAAACATGATTCCCGCCCCCCCCCAAAAAAAACCCTCCATCTATACCTGCATGTCTTCCAGAGCACACACTTGCTTCAATCGGCTGGACCTGCCACCCTACCCATCCTTCTCCATGCTCTACGAGAAGCTGGTGACAGCCGTGGAGGAGACCAGCACCTTCGGTTTGGAGTGACCCCGCCTCCTCCATCACCCCCCCCCCCACACACACACACACACACACATACAAAGACATGTCACTCCAACCAAGAGAGAAAAACCCCACTGTGTGTTTTTCAAAAGCGACACGGTGGTATTTGACTCAACGCGTGCGCTTTATCTCTTCGGTTAAGTGCGGTCGGTTTACTGGGTCCACTTTGTGTCCTCCTGCACCTTAAAGCGAGACAATGAAGAAGCCTCTCGGGACCTCCCAACTGTGTCTGCTAAATTCACATGTCGACGCATCGCTCATGTTTAACAGCATGGAAGAATGACTTTGGAGACATTTCTGCTGTGGAAAAAAGGAGAGACGGCCAAACGCGCTTTTGCTTTGCGACTGAATGTACTGGATGTGCTTTGCAACCCTCCTGGTAGGTCTCGCTCCTTCTCTGGTTTTCCGATTGGCTACCCCGTGCACCCAAAACTCACCGGTTTTGCTTTCCTGGTGAACGTGTTTGTTAATAACAGGCCCAGAAACATGCCCGCCTGCGCTCAATGCCCATTGCCCTCTCGGTTGCGTCCCCGCAAAAGTTAGAATCCGCCTCACCATTTTCATCCATCCGTCCATTTTCCAATCGGCTTCTCCTCAGGAGGGGCGCGGGCGTGCCGGAACCTATCCCGGCCGTCTTCGGGCAGGAGACACCCTCAACTGGTGACCAGCCAATCGCATGCGGGCACATGTTGACCAACCACCAGTCGCGCTCACATTCATACCGAGAGTGTCCAGGCGCTATAATCGAACCACGCACCTCTGCACTGTGAGGCGGACGTGCTAACCGCTCATTCACCATTTTGCTGCTGGATATTAAGAAGTTGGATGGCAGCGTATTATACCAGACGACACAAACAAAGTCTCAAAGATCCAAATGTCACCAGGAAATCGGCCATTTTGTTGAAATCAGACATAAAGTGTGCGTGTCCATCATAACAGGGCGCGTGAAAACGTTTGAAGTTCAAAGTCTGCCATTTTGGTTTCAGCAATTTGAAGCAAATTCCAGGGCTGGTCCTCCGATGGGCTCCTACCCGACCATCGCATGCCTACGCGTTGACGTATCAGGAGGGTTCAATCAGGGCTCCCGCCTAACCAGTATTGTAATCCCGACATAAGCGCGGGCCCGTTTCAAGATGGCGGGTGGGGGGGGTGGACTTTCACTCCCACAACAGCGCAGACACGCAAAGACACCCGATCCTCAAGGTGCGCTTTGTCACAAAGCAACATGCGCACGCTCCACTGCACGGATATGTTTACTAGCCTGACACACCTCTCGGTCCCCATAGAAATTGAAAATCCCTCTCAACAGAACCGGTCCGCTCTTGCATGGGTCGCTTTGCAGAGACGGGCGACGCCCGGCCAAAGGTACGCACGGGAAGACTGTTGAATGGTTTACAAATGGGACGGAATGTTCGGCCGGATCTTAAGCCGTGACGGGTGTGGAGCTTGGACGGGACCGTTTTTTTCCATGTCTGACTTTCACAAGTTCCCCGACAAAGTGAAGCGCACAAAAGCTCCACGTGTAGTTCATGAATCTTCTCAAGTCTCGAACAGCTTTGGAGCCATACACAATCGGGAGGAGTCACTTCAAGTCCCAAAATATCAAATCTGTCACTATTCGGCTTGCCGTTGGGGCCCAAGCAACAAGCACTTTGGTATTGCTCTTCCTATGGATGGAGCGTGCGAGGAACCTTTCAAATGATGACAAATCCCAAATGTCGGACTCCAGGCTGTTTGTAACTTTTTTGGAAGGCCAATATTGTCTTTTCATGCCAAATTTGCTGATGCTTCTGTTGCCCTTTGCCTTTCCCCTGATTGACCTACAAATTGCTCAGAAGAAGCTTGACCGTGTCGTTCAGTGAAGAATGATGAATGATGTTAACCTGGGAGGTGGCCAAGTCCGGTCCTGAAGATTCTGTTTTACATGACCCCTCCCGCCGAACGTCGGCCCCTCCTCCAAACACACCTAATTGAAATGATCAGGGTTGTTATCAGACTTGTGAAAAGCTTGGTGACATGTGTGTTGGTGAAGAGACTGAAACAGCCTCTCCAGGACCAGACTTGGGCACCCCCGATGTCGACTTTGTGTGAGAAGCAGCGTACGGTTTACAGCCGGCTCGTGTCGCATGTTCCCGCGAAGACAACAAGACCCATCTAATCCGCCAAAATGATCTACCTATCTTACGACTTGTGTGACTTGTAAATCCACGCCACTCACTACGTTTGCCTTGACAGCATGCGATAAAAGAGACTGTTGCGCGCGCGCATAACTAAAAACCCTTTCCCGCAGTCTTACACTTCCTTGCTAGCAAAAATAATCTTTTTTTTATACGGGGGTGCATGCAAAATGAAACCATAGTGTACAAACGAGTGCTGTGGGGCTCCAGCGGCCCGAGCGCTGGCCCGAATAGCGCTTACGTGTGCTGTGAGATGCCAAGGCAAGATTTTTATATCCCATCATGCATGTGAGTGGTTCTTGGTCGGCTCTGTGAGCTGCGCCGGGGGCCGTTAAAACCTGTGACGACATTGTGGTCTAGCTTGATATTGCATGCGCCGCTCTTGCAAGACACTTACTTGACTGTCCTTCCTAGCTTTTTCTGCATGACGATATTGTTATCAGAAAAAAAAGAGAGATGGAGATGAATTGTTGTTTCTGGGGTTTTTTTTTTTTCTTTCCCCATAGTGGAAATCACGGCCATGAGTCCCTCATGCTTTACCTGGTCATACTCGAGGGTTGAACCTAAGAAGGAGTGCTACATTGGTAGCGCGCATCAGTCACTTTGAATGAGCTCTGGGAATGTGCAATGCAGTTTGAATGTGTCTCGTATGGCACGTTACCGCAAAACGTCACTTTCCCCGCGTGTCCTGCCTATCTTAGTAATAGGTCGATGGTTATCGCTAGCGAGATGGCGGTGAACCGATAGGGCTGTTTTGACAAAAAAAAAAAAAAACAAATAATAATAGTAATACAAAAACACACGTATGTGGACCATGTGTGCAGTCATCATGTTTGTCTCTTATTTGTATATAACTGTAAATGTACAGCCTATCTGTCCTGTTGTGTGTATAAATATATATTTTGCACTGAATGTACCAAAGGAGCTCAAGAGGTCTAGCGTTGGTTGGGTCTACCTTCATTTCGAATCCTGCGCCATGCCATAGGTTGCTGCACATGTGATGGGAGGATATTATTCAAATGTGACTCTTTTTTCTTTTTTTTTTTTTTTTTAATCAAAGTGGCCATTTTTTGAGTCAATTTGGTTATTTCCAGGCATTCTCCAAATACTTTGTCTCCTAGATTTTGTTCAGTTGTGACCAAATTTGAACCTCATGTCCTAGAACAGGGGTGTCAACTCATTTTTGTCACGGGCTACATTATAGTTACGGTTTCCTGTAGAGGGCCGTCCTGACTGTGACACTAAAAACATTTTGAATCTCCTCATATAATTCCATATATAAAACAACTGATGGATAACTACTTTTGTAATCAGATGGCAAGGATAATTATGAATGATTTCTTCAAATGACATTTTGAAATTCTGGTTGAGATTTTAGCGACAATCATCAAAGATGACGTTGAAAATTTGCTTCTGATGGCCACATAAAATGAAGTGCGGGGGCGGACCTGCCCCTTGGGCCTTGGGTTTGACACGTGTCCTAGAAGGACAAACAAAAGCTAAATTGCAAAACGTTTGAGTTTGCGTCATTGCGTGTGGGTGCAGCACGGCAGTGAAGCTTGACGACTTGACAGGAGAAAAAAAAACAAGACGAAACTATTAACTGTGATGAGCGCAGGCGTGCCAGGGCCTGATCATTGATGTTTGCAGCTAAAATTATTTTTTTAAATAGTATGATTGTTGTTGTTTTTGCATGATGTGAAATGTTTTTATTTACAAAAAAAAGAACTGAATCTATTGCTTATTAACATAAAGAGGTACTTTGGATTGGTTGATTCTTAATTTATGTTTTGCTCTTTCCATGTTCACCTGACAAACAAAAAAACAAAAAGTGACTAATTATTTTGTTTTGTCGTTGAACACACACACCAAAACGGTAGGTTATGCCATTCAAAATGTAGGTTCATTTCAAACAGTAAATGTTAAAAGAGTACTGTATTTGATTTTAATCTTTTATCGGTTGGCTTTACATGACTCAAGTTTAGTAAGGAGCATGAGTAAAGAAGGGGCATGGCAGCTTATTAAGACATTCAGTAGATGCATTCGTGTTTTTCAATGACTTAAAAAAATCGACCAAGTGGTGTACTTATTGAGGTACGCAAGATCATCGTTTTTTCGGACATCTTTCAGTCACATTCATTCGACAGATGAAAATATTTTAGATTGAAATATCAAAGTACCCGCATCAAAATCGCCTTCAAGTTTGATTGCCACTTGAAGATGGAAATAACAAATGATACAAATATCATTAATTCATTGTAGATTTATTACTGTGCTTTTTTTAAAACTCTCAAGTATGTTTCAATGCTGTTGTTCGTCCTCATTTTCATATTGATTTCCGCCTCCCAGTTTCAAATGAAACGAAAAAAAAACAAGACGAAACTATTAACTGTGATGAGCGCAGGCGTGCCAGGGCCTGATCATTGATGTTTGCAGCTAAAATTATTTTTTTAAATAGTATGATTGTTGTTGTTTTTGCATGATGTGAAATGTTTTTATTTACAAAAAAAAGAACTGAATCTATTGCTTATTAACATAAAGAGGTACTTTGGATTGGTTGATTCTTAATTTATGTTTTGCTCTTTCCATGTTCACCTGACAAACAAAAAAACAAAAAGTGACTAATTATTTTGTTTTGTCGTTGAACACACACACCAAAACGGTAGGTTATGCCATTCAAAATGTAGGTTCATTTCAAACAGTAAATGTTAAAAGAGTACTGTATTTGATTTTAATCTTTTATCGGTTGGCTTTACATGACTCAAGTTTAGTAAGGAGCATGAGTAAAGAAGGGGCATGGCAGCTTATTAAGACATTCAGTAGATGCATTCGTGTTTTTCAATGACTTAAAAAAATCGACCAAGTGGTGTACTTATTGAGGTACGCAAGATCATCGTTTTTTCGGACATCTTTCAGTCACATTCATTCGACAGATGAAAATATTTTAGATTGAAATATCAAAGTACCCGCATCAAAATCGCCTTCAAGTTTGATTGCCACTTGAAGATGGAAATAACAAATGATACAAATATCATTAATTCATTGTAGATTTATTACTGTGCTTTTTTTAAAACTCTCAAGTATGTTTCAATGCTGTTGTTCGTCCTCATTTTCATATTGATTTCCGCCTCCCAGTTTCAAATGAAACCCGCACAGCAAAAGTGCGCATGCGCGGGGCAGTGACGTGTCGAGAAAAGTGTCAAACGAGAAGGACGTTAAAAAAAGGAGGAAAAAAAGTGAAAAGGGGCAAAAGGACGGAAGGTCTCGAAAATGAACTTGAAGTGGTTGATTTGAGCCGTGGGCGAGCGGCTCGAAGCGCTAATAAATGAAGGGACGTGTGGTTGATTGTCTTTTTGGTAGGCGAGCTCCTCCTCCTCCTCCTCCTGCGTAAAATTGACCAAATCTCGAGTCGAGCTGACCGCGGAAGCTAACCGGGCTAGCATGGAAGCGGGAGCCGGCGGCCGGCTCTGTTAGCTTCGCTTTGCTCACTTTCGAGTCTCCTTTCACCGTTCAGTATTTCGTCGCGACCGGTACTGGAGGTAAAAAAAATGTCTCGGAGGCGGCTGGACAGCCGTAGCGGGCTAGCCGCCGCCGCCACCGGCAGCGGACTCCTGGCCGAAAGTCACACACTGATCAGCGCGGAGCCTCTGGACGCCGTTTTCGAAGTCACCGGCGAGCTGGGAAGGTGAGTCGGAACACTTGTGCAAGCTTCCCAAACTTTTCAGGGGACGCATTGACCCGAGGACCTACCACAATAATCCCAATGCCAACTAAACACGAGTAAAAAATGATGCCCCTTAAAAAATTCTGAACTCGAAACTATTCGAGCGAGCCTATCAGTTGACGGTAACATCCCTATTTTCGAAACTACACCATTTAGGAAGCTAATCCTGATCACTGAAAGCCCTTTGTAGTCCAGCAAAAGATTGAGAATTGTTTACAACTTTTACTCGAGCCAATTTAACACATGTACGCAAATTGTGGACCCCCATGGCGAGACTCACAAAGGGTACCAGGGCCGCAGTTTGAACACCCACCGCTTGCTTTGCGAGGGCGTGGAACTTGAAGTCTGTGCCGGAAATGCTGAAAACAGATTTTGTTATCGTTCGGATTTGCTCCGTCTCCGCGGTACAGTTCGCGGTGGTTTCATGTTACCGTAGTGCAAATCTAGGTCACTTTTACGCTCCGTTCTTGTCCCTGAGTGTTAAACATGAACTTTGTCCAACCAGTTCTAGCGGTTTGCCTCCTCTTCGTCTCAGTTCTGTTATTTCTGTCGTCAAAAGTCTGACCTCACGACAACTCGATTGGAACACCTTCTGATCCCGTTGACATACTTTTGAGTATCACGTTTTTACCAACTCTTGTGAGAGAATTTCTCTTGCCTGAAAACACTCAAAAACGTACCGCTTGTCAATCAGCCATTGCTTTGAATTAAGGGGATCTCACAACTCGCACGGGAGTGCCAACTAGAAAGTTGAACAAATGTGGTGGTGTTCACGTTTAGAGAGCTTTCTTCTTTTCATGGTGGTTGCACCTGGACTGAAAGTTCATTACATTTAGTAAGCTCTTTGTGATGTAATATATACTAATACTCATTCAAGTAGAGCCACCTGGAAAAATGGAAGAAAATGTGTTTTTCCACCTATACAGATCCCTCTTGTTTCCTTTTTGGTTAAACCTTGCAAACAAAACAAAACAACAACAATTACAAGCACATAGACCCACGACGAAAATGGATTGTGGAAAAATCACCAGGCGGCGGTTTCTCGGATTATCGTGAAATTAGGTGGACGTGTCTTTTCTAACCGGGCGCTCAATAAAGTCTCAAGGACCCCTGCCCGAAAGTGACCAGGAACCGTGCCGTAGCAAGCAGCCATTTTGGGGTTTTTAGAAACCCAATGAATGAATGCGAACGTTCCACTCCATGTTTGCTTTGTTATCGTCCAAGGGGCAAGTTTGCGGTGGTGAAGCGCTGTGTGGAAAAAGCCACGGGCAAGGTGTTCGCCGCCAAGTTCCTTCGCAAAAGGAGGCGAGGTCGCGACTGCCGGGCCGAGGTGGTCCACGAGATGGCCGTCCTGGAGACTGCTCGCAACAACCCCAGAGTGGTCAACCTGCACGCCGCTTACGAGACGGACCACGACATCGTCCTCGTGCTGGAATAGTGAGTCGCAATCAAGGATTCGGTTGACCATGCATCTTTCTCGGCTCGGTTCTGCTGCCGTCATTACCGAAAACCGAGATTGCCCTGAAGGACTTGAATACGTACTTGATGTCCTTGAGGTGAAGTGTGTGTACATTGACCTTTCAACAATACGCACGTCCTCTACTTAAGCGAGGACACTCGATATGTTCCCTCTTGCGCAGCCTCAACAAAACAAATATTTATTCACCCAAAGAAAATGTAACAAAAGTGTAACTTGCTGATATGTTTGAGAGTTTTTTTTCCCCCGGTGAGTTCACGTTCGGTCAAGGTGTCTTGCAAAACATGAACCGCCCTGGTTTCCAAAGACTGTTTCTACATGACAGCTGTTGTTGGCCGTGACTACTTTTTATTCTACTAAACAATGTAAGGATCCCCGTGTGTTTTAGTAGCCACAAACTTTGGTCAAAAGTCGGCTGAAGCGCTGCAATTAACAATGAACCACGAAGACAGTGAAAGCATTGTTTTGCTGGCTCGTTCTGTCCCCTTCCACTGCCGGGTGTGCCAACGCGAGACTTGCCTCTGTGACGATGATGACTACGGCCCGTGCTAAGGGGTGGTTATGGAGTCGAAAAGGAGGCAGTATGAAGACAGGAAAAGCAGTGGGTTGCATTCCCACTCATCAGACTCCCTTTGACCCCCCCCCCCTCTACTGCAGGGGGTGCAAACAATACAGGATTGCATTGCAATGGCAGTAGAGGAAGAGAGCTCTGAGTTATTGCTACTTGTTGATCCCAGATTATAAAAAGGGCAAGCGTAAACTGCAAAGCGTAAACTGCAAAGTGCTTATGAAGGGAAAAGCACCGATTGTATTTTCACTGCCGCAGGCAGCACATTGTCAACGAGCTGCTGCATTACTCCTGCTAATTAGCATGTGGGTCCATGTATGTGGTTCATGCGGCGGGCAGGGCGGCAAATTGTAATTCCCGTCACAAAAAAACAAAAAAGGTTTCCATTAGTGTAGTCTGTCTGTTGCTTGGAAATGTCGGATCTTCACCCAGCTGAGTTACCAGGTCGTGGGGTAGGCAGGGGCTGTGTGGGGACAGCGTGATGTGAATGAGATGACATATGTTTAGATAGAAGGCGCTCGCAAAATAGTCCCGAGCCTACGATTTGTTTCAAAGTTCCAATGGACAATGTCCACTTTTCTCCTTCCCAGCGCGGCAGGCGGCGAGATATTCGACCACTGCGTGTCTGACGAGCTGCTGCCCGAGGCCCAGATTACCCGTCTGATCAGGCAAATGCTGGAGGGAGTTCACCACCTCCACCAGAGCAACCTGGTGCACTTGGACCTCAAGGTGGGGATCGCAATTGACCCTCGGCCGAAGACGGGCCTTTTGCTTTGACGGTGATGAATGTCGGCGCGCCTCTTTTCTGTCTTTCTCAGCCCCAGAATATCCTCTTGACCAGCCTCTCCCCTCCCGGGGACATCAAAATTGTGGACTTTGGTCTGGCACGCAGATTGGGCGCGGTTGGGGAGCTCCGAGAGATTCTTGGCACACCTGAGTATGTGGGTAAGCTAAAAAAAAAAAAAGTTAAACATGTGGAAAAGCCCACTTTTGTAAAACCTCATTCTGACAATTTTAAAATACACAAGAAATCAAGAATTCCGCATCCACTTTTAGTATCAGGCTTCAGTGGCTCGCTTTCGAGGGTGGGGTGGGGGGGCGGGCTTTGTGTTTTGCAATTGCAGAGTACGCTTTTTTGGTACCATGGCAACTCGCGGCGGCACGAAGCTATTGCAAAACTCGCAAGCGCCCATCCCTAAAGCTTAACAGGAAGTAAGCCATTTTGAGCAAATTGCAATTTCTTTTCTTCACTCAGCACCGGAAATCCTCAATTATGAGCCCATCACAACGTCCACGGATCTTTGGTGAGTGGCAACTTTCACAGCCAGCAATTTGAATGGGAGTTCTCTTTGTCCGTTGGTTTGTAGTATGCGGCTTGGTCTTTCCCTCAGGAGCGTGGGCGTCATCGCCTACATGCTGGTGACGGGCGAGTCTCCGTTTGCCGGCGACGACAAGCAGGAGACGTACCTGAACGTTTCCCAGGTCAACGTGGACTACAGCCGGGAGGCCTTCTCCAGGGTTTCGGAGCTGGCCGTGGACTTCATCCGCAAGCTGCTGGTCAAAGCGCCCGAGTGAGTAACAACAACGGTGGCAGCGGCGCGTGTGAGCTCAGCCCCCCCCAGAATAGAAGTCATTGTTTTTGAATCCAGGCCCGGTGGAGAGCAAAAAAAAAAAAGAAACAAAAAAAAAAAAAAATCGGACCTCAGGCCGCTGCAATATTTTATTTTTGAGCAGTTTTTCTTTTGTGATTTATTTTTTAGGGTCACCTGCCAAAGGCTCGTCCTCCATAACCACATTAAAGGGTTTGCAGTGCGTTTTTTTTTTTTTTTTTCCCGCCACTTCTCGGAATGTGCTTGAAAGTAGCAATTAGGCCGCATCCCCTCATCATCGCCACTTTCCCGTCAATCCCCCTTTTTTTCCAATCTGTCATACAGATTTAGTTGGAAAGGATGTCAAGTGCTCCTTTTGCCTTGGAGTGAGAATAATGTGCAGTTGAGATCTCTTTTCAGCTTGCAAAAATTCTCTTTTGGGTTGAAATCCTGAGGCTCCCTATTTTCCCATGATCATCACCAGGCCATAAAACTTCTTTGAGGTTCGTCTCTGTACAGTAGTATGTTGATATGTGAGCGTCTTGACGTTCGCACTTTTCAAGATGGGGCCTATTTTTAAATTTTATTATTAGTTTTTTTTTTGTTTTTTTTTTTGTCTTGAGATACGAAGCAAAAAAATCGACGCCCGACCACCTTCCATTCACTTTGGTTTCCTTGTGGTGCAAGGGCAATATCGGTTGGTGGCGCTAAAGTTCCATTCATCTGGTTTGCCAACTGCCACTATGCCTCACAAAAAAGAACAAGGAAGGACGGTTGTGTTTTGAGCGTTTGCAGGTTATGTGGTGCGGAAATATTACGATCGTGTGTTTTTGGTACAGTTCAGAACTGGTGAAGAAAACATTTGGGGAACATCCTACATGAAAAGAATTCAGAGTATGTCTTGGGATATTCAGCACAAGTGTGTGCGTCGTGAACGAATGGAACCGTCTGGGAAATAAGCCGGGTTTTTCCCGCGTTCAAAATGGCGAGGCGCCCGCCTCCAGCTAATTTTCTGTCACCCCCAGCCAGACAGATTGATATCGTTTAACACGGCGTAAAGATGAAGCCGGGCTGATTGAGCCATTGATGTCCTTCTGCGGCGGCTTGTTATTTTCACTGCAGTTGCAGCGTAGCGCCACTAGGGAGGCGCTATATCAACAGCAGTGCACAGGAAAGACCCGAAGCCATGGCTCACGTCCTCCTTCAACCGAGGTCCTTACCCGAGAGTTTGTGGTCTCCGAGACGAGGCCTTCACTATGCACGTTTGAATCAAAGAATGCGTTAAGCGTCATCTTCCGATTTGACTTTTTCCCCTGAAAGTATGTTTCCTGTAGAAAGTGAGTCCGTTGAATTCGCAGAATACACACACCCCACGGCGCATTGTCAGGATGGTGCCACCTCTGCCTCAGTTTGAGCCAGGAAAAACCCTGAAACCGCCGTTCAGGTGTTAGAGTTGCCCCGCAGGCAAAAAACATTTGTGTTTTTGACCTTCACACCTGTCAGTGCTGTCATCAAAATGTATTTTAAGGTTTTGCTTTCCATCTCCCACAGTCACAAACGGCTTTTTTTGTTGTTTTTGTTTTGGTTTTCCTCTCTTGGCATGTGCATTTCTCGGATGACATTGGGCCCCCCGCGGCCCCTTTTTTTTTTCTCTCTCCCACCTTGATATAACTCGATGGTTTTCGCGTGGGCTTCACCACCACGCTAACGGGTAACTGTTTCCGACAGGGACCGTCCCAGCGCCGCCGAGTGCATCGGCCACCCTTGGCTGTGGCAGCAGCAGCAGTCGTACGCCAGCCCGGAGCCGGCGTCCGGCCGCGGCGCCCGCGAGCGGAGCTGCGGCGCCAAGTGGGCGGCGCCTCCGCCCGAGGACAAGGAGAACTTCCTGGAGTCAGCGCCGCCGCCGCATTCCCACGCCAAACGCTTGCGCTTGGACGAGGAGGCGCTTCTTGTCGACGGTGACTCGTGAACTCCAAAAGGAAATAGCTTTTAAATTGGTTTTAAGACCAACGGGCGACTTATTTCTGCCCCGCTGAATTTGTTTATTGTGAGATTAACACAAGCCAAAGATAATCATTTGACTGACACCGTGATCCGCTTCTGCGATCCCGTTTGTCTTTAACTGGAATTCTCGTGCCAGATGAGGGCTTGTGGTCAGTTTGTTTGTTTGTTTGTTTTTTGTGGAGATCAATGCGGTGCAAAAATGGCCTCCGTGCTTCAGCCTTGTTCAATGGCAGTTTTGCCTAAGCCAGTACACACATACCGCGTTTTAACATCTTAACCCCGTTATTTATTTATTTATTCTTTATTTGTAACAACCCACACAAGCGCGTTTCTCATTTTCTTCTAGTGTGTGTGTGGTGAACACACACGGAACAATATTTGTCATCGTCCCGAGACTGACCTATGCAAGGCACCGTGGCGTCAGTGTGTTGAGCGCACTCCCGCAAAGAAGCCCAATCAGAAATAGTGAGCATACTTAACAGTTACGATTGTCAACTGTTTTCCGATCAGATCGGGGAGGTCAAAGTCACTGAACCGTTAGCTTGTGGCGCGTCCTGTGTGTTGATCGCAGGGGACGGACCATGTTCACGTTTTTTTTTTGGTGTCATTCCCACACCCAAGATGTTGAAAGTCGCTAGATCCCAAACGCGGACTTGCCGTCAAGACCGTTGAACTCGATTAACGTTTTTGATTGTGGCCGATTCACCAGCAGATAGAGGAGGACCACTAAGTCTTGACGCGCCCCGGACGGCAGGATAATCCTTCAGCTTCAGGGACATCTGACGCCAATCGGGCCTCCGCGTTTCATTGACGTCGTCCTCGTTTTCTCAGCAGATTGGGGAGAGAAAAAATGACTCTTAACGTAAGCAACAGGATCATTGGTCACAGCAAATTTGATTCGGGGACGGCTTTGTGCCTCCATAAAAGTATTTTTGACTCTTAATTTTTTTAAAAAAAACGTTTTGACTTTTTTTTTTTTTTTCTTCCTGAGCACATCAGGTTTTGGTGAGATTTTCAATTGCTTGTTGTAAATGTGACCCCAAAAAGCTTGTGCAATGCAGATTTTAGCGTGCGTTGAAATTTATAGCTGACGTTTTGGGAAAAAGAAAAAAAAAACCTCCACCTCACCTTTGCTGAACCTCGAAGTCAATAATGACTAAATGTATTATCGTATGAAATATAAACATGACGTGCGAAAGGGGAAAAAAAACGGGGCCGATTCGGAATCAGCGAGAAAAAAAGGGAAAAGTTTCCCCCGCGTCTCTGATTACAAAGTGTCGTCCAAATGTGTAATCTGGCCTTCGCCGACGGGAAAATGCACCAATTTGTCCCCAGCGTCGCTATGTGTGTACTCGGCTTCATCTGCGTGCGTGGAGACTTTGCGGTCAACGGTGCCATGTGGAAAAGCGGCCACTACCAGCACAAAAGCACATTTTGAGCGTTGAAATTGAGCTCAGGGTTTTTCGAAGCAACTCTCTTTGAATCCTTCCGGTTTCAGGCCTTTCTATATTCAGTGTTTATCCGACTCTCAGGTCATGACTTGTTCTGCACTCCGAACGTAGCGCCGCGGTTCTTGTGGCGGCCTGTTGTTTTGCCCCGGGCGTGCTGCAAAATTGTCCCGCTACGGTTGCGCAGACCAGTCGCTCTCTCGTCCGCCTGCGGAGAAGGGAACCACCGTCGAGCACTTAACTTCCTCATCGACGCGGCGCTTTATGCATTCACGCTTGTTTTTTGTCTGTCATGAAGGCTCTTCTTCAAAGTATCGCCAGAAAAGGAAAAAAAAAAAAAGAACACTGCTCACTTTTCTTATTTTTTTAGCATCATTCCTATTGTTTTTATCGGCGCGATGAACTTATACATTACATTATTTTTCAACATTTTTTATGTCATTTGTAGTCATGATGAGGTGGGGAAAGTTGTCGGTATCTGGATTGCTGGAGAGTGGTGAGGAATTCAGGGAATTGAGAAGGTAGAAGGAAGGACTTTTGGTGTGGTCACGGTGCAGGAGATGTTGGGAAGGTGGCAATGATGGGATGCGGGTGCCGCAAGTTGGAGGGATGTCGGGTGGCGTCAAATAGAAGGACGTCTTTCCCCGCTTGCTTGTGTATTGTTTTCTTTTTGTTGTCGTCGTCATCTCATGCTGTCGGCAGCCCACGCGGTGGCCTTTGTGCGGAAGCGGCCGTGTTGTCGTGTGTCACGCTGTCGTCCGGGCGGAACAACTGGAACGCTCCTCGGAGGGCACAAAGTGCCGCTGCTTTTCTCCAGTTCGTTGACGCGACGGTGCCTTGAGATAGGAGGCAACCAACTTGATGTTTTCCAGATACGAGCTGCATTTTTAAAAAATATATATATATTTTGTTTTGCTTTGACATGCTCGTTGAAACTTGAGCGCTGGATGGAAGCAGTGAACTGAATTCAACTCTTGACATACACAACAAGCAGCAGTTCGGCAAGCGTTTCTTCCAAAAATAGGCTTCAAGCTGTTTCACGTCGGAGTTTACCGTTAAACTAAACATATTTCAACATTTCGTGTTTCATCCAAGAACTGTCTTTGCTTTCCAAAAAAAGGCCCATTTAGCATCATGCTCGCAAACCAGTGGTGACATGCCAATGGTCAGCATTGACGGTCGCCGTTTTCAAAGCGGCAGATATTTCAACATGTACACAGAAAATAGAACTTACGCAGGCATAAATTTGTCATCCGCCACACAAATGTCGAATGTTGCAGTCTAGTCCTCGTCGCTTGCGTCTGCATGATTGCATTGCGCTGCCTCCCGGAGGCCAAGGCGAACACGCTAGAAGGAAGAGCCCAATGAAAGAAATTGCAGCATCAAATCACGATGCATAGACTGCTTCGTATTGCATGTTTTTATCAAGTGCTTTTTTTAATTTAAAAAAAAAAAACATTGTTTTTGGGAGGGGCTGCAACGGATTAATGGCATTGCGAGTCAGCGTTTTGAGTCACGAGCCTGATCGTGGAATGAATGAAACTCATATCTCAAGGCACCGTGTCTTCAAGTTGACTTGGAGCAAGAAAAAAAAAGTGCTTGTCAAGAAATAAGCTTCGGTGTTCTTACACCTCAGGATTTAAAGGAGACATATTATGCAAATGTTTTTCCTTGCAAAACAGTCCCCTCTTGGTTGGCGTGATTTCGAAAATAATCCCCCCCCCTCCCAAAAAAAAAAAAAGTTGTGCTCTGATGTCACAATCCGGGCAAATTTCCGAATTGTACGGCTCGCTTTGCAGGCACGTTTTGGAAAATAGGCAGATGAAGGATTTGCGCCCAAGCCATTCCAAAGTCCATTTTCCATAATATGTCCCCTTTAAATGCCACTTTTCTGCTGTTTGTCTGATACCTCGCCCACCCGCGCGTGCGCACACATTTGACAAGTGTCTTGAAAGGATGACGTGTGGGGCTGGATGGCTGACGGGGTGAGAAGTCTTTTGTTTTACCGAGACTCGACAAGCGGTGTGAAGCCAAGAGAAGGCGGACGGACTTGTTTGGCGCTCGCTCTGCTGGATGTTGAAACACTTGAACGTGTCGACGGGGTGGCGTCACCGTCGCGGCTCTCGGATCTGTGCTCGCCCGTTGTCAGGAGACGTGAAGCGCGGCCCTAAGCACAAGCCGCGTGCGTCTCCGCGGTTGTTTGTTTATTTTGGACTGTTTCTAATTTAACGTATGAGCAATGTGATTGCCAAACACTTAAGAAAACAAGCTCATGTTTTGTGATCAAGCACACACAAGCTAATTCCGATTTCGGCATCACAGTGCTTCATAATGCTTATTAAAGATTGTAGAAATGATGAAACTCTTTTGTCCCTTATGGTTGACTTTTGCCTTGAATGCGGTTGCAAAAGGATTTGGGTGCCATTTGGGTCTTTTGGCGGAGGGGAGGGGGGGTGGGGGGGTTAAACATGGCACGTCGAACCGTAAAAATGAAACTTCCCCAAAAAATCTGTTTGTGGTGCAACTATTAAAATGACTCCATTGTTTTTCACCCCCAGAAAAATGTTTTTGTGAAAATTGGTCAATCGCAGAACTAAAAGGAATCCGTTTGATGGGTCAATCTCACCCACAACACAACAGGAAAGTTCGCCTGAAAAAGGAAGAAAAAAAATGGTCATTGGAATGCAAGAAAATGTTACCAAATGAATTTGCTTCACAAACAAGAAAGAAATACCGGAGAATCCCCAAAGTTATCCCAAGTGTCTTTTACATGAAATGTTCCGGGTCAATTTGACCCACAATATAAGAGTGGGGGTTGGGGAAAATCCCAGAAAGGGAATTTGGATGCTTTTAGGAAAGACTTTGCGTTAATTTGACCCATAACTTGGGTGGGCTCCCGTGAAAGGACGCATACAATCAGGAAATCGAATCAGTGTGCTTTACCAAACATTTCAAGTCTCATGTTTAAAAGTGTCAAGTGGTGAGCGCGCCGACCTCACAGTGCAGAGGTCGTGGGTTCGATTCCGGCTCCGGCCTTCCTGTGTGGAGTTTGCATGTTCTCCCGGGCCTGTGTGGGTTTTCTCCGGGTACTCTGCTTTCTGTGTCTGTGTGCCCTGCGATGGGCTGGCAACCGGTTCAGGGTGTCCCCTGCCGACTGCCCGAAGACAGCTGGGATAGGCTCCAGCGCCCCCCGCGACCTTTGTGAGGATGAAGCGATTCGGAAGATGGATGGATGGATGTTTAAAAGAAGATGAAATTAGTGTCAAGATAAATCGAGCCTCTGACTGCCAGTTGTGGAATATACCACGTCCGTCAATCCATCCAAGTAGAAAAAACAAGGCCAGTCAAAGTTTTCGGCACATTTTTAATTGGTTACATTTTTCCACATTTTAAATGTTTTTTTTTTTTCTGGTCGGGTCAATTTGATCCATAGCACGATAGGACAGTTTTCATTTTCAGCTTGCTATAAGATCTTCGAACGGGGCAAGAAAACGGAATGATCGGCTTTGCTGCAGTCAACGTGAATAACGGCCGTCCGCGCTCAAGAGCGCGGCGACCGTGGGAACGGTGACTCGGGATGACAATGCGGAGACATTCATCGCCGCCTTCCACAGAACGAGCTCGGACCAAACAGGACAAGAATAGCCGGCTTTTTGTCTCTTCGGCCCTCTGCCGCGCTCTGAATGGGTCTCGACTGAAGGAATAAGACCACAGTGTGCTCCGAAAGCCTGTCGACACAAGTCGTCACCAGCGCGCGGGTGTCGCCCGCAGCCTCCAATGGGAATGACTGCACGGAAAACATTGAAGAAAAAGGCGTCATTCTCTCAGCGGGGTGCCTGGAAAAACGACTTTCCGCACAGACAATGGCACAATTTTCAACCAAACCAAAAGCAAATCAAAGCCCACCCGAGCGCCAACTTTTTCACGCCGAATCTTCCAAATGATCAAACCAGGACGCAATTTGCTGTCGTCCATCAATTCACACTGAGGGAGGCTCGTGTTCCAGACCGCGAAACAACTTCTATTTCCACCAGGAAGCGCCAACTCCCAAAATGTTTTTGAGGCACTCGTGTACCCAACATGGAAACCAGAGAGCTATCTACCTATGGATGGAAAAAAGAACACATTCCTTTACTTTGCAGCAAGTGCTACTGTGTGACTTTTGGAGAATGGTCCAGGAGACACAATTTGAGTGACAAGAGACCCGCAGTTTGGGGGCATGCAGTTGCCCCCCCCCCCACCCCTCCTCAAATAGGCCAATAATTCATCGGGGGAAAAATAAGAGACGGCGAGATTGCAATCAAGAAGCGGAATGCGATGACTTGCGTTGAGTCCACTGCTGGGATGCCCAAGTCCGGTCCTGGAGGGACCTGATCCAGTCGGTTTGAGACGTGCCCCTCCTCCAGCACACCCGATTCAAAAGATGAGCTCATAAGCAAGTTTTTCAAAAGCCTGATAACTGTACTGATTATTTGAATCTTCGGTGTTGGAGGAGGGAGACGTGGAAAACTCCAGGATCGGACTGGGACACCCCTGCGAGGACACCATCTGTCACACGATGTTGGTGAATAAGATCCAGGCAAAGACATGAAAAGATTCACACGGACACAAGAGCCACCCGGATGAACTCGGTTCCCGTTGAAAGCTGTCAAGGAGGCTCAGAATTCCTGAATGACCCGAAAGTGGTTTTCAATGGACGGCGGTTCATCCACAAAGTGGAGTTTATCATACAGACGCGCCCCGAGCTCCTCCAGGGTCTTCACGAAACACGCGTGCTCCCGACCCACCCAGGCCCGCGTGGGGTCTCGGACCTCGTACGGCGTCACGTGAGCGTGGATCCCGATCCCGCTTGTGGCGAGCTGGCCCAGCAGGCTCCTGTCCGTCACCCAGGTCTCGCTTCCCCCCGGGTGGCCGCCGTCCAGCCAGAACATGTCCGAAAGGCTTCCGGCAAAGTCCGAAACACGCGGATCCGCCAGGGCGCCGGCCAGCTCGTGGACCACCTGGTTGAGGACCACGCAGCCTTTACTGAAGCCCACCAGGGTCAGGGAGAATCCGGCACGGGTGCCGCTGGCGTCGCCTGGAGCTCGGATGGTGTTTGGCAGGCCGGCTCGCTCCATCCCGTGGACCAGCAGAGACCTGCAACCGCAGTGGAGGTTTGTCCACAAATGCTTTGAAATGTACTTTTGTGAAGCACATTGAGTTAACTTGCGTGTGAAATGCGCAATAGAAATAAAGCCCCTTTGCTGTTCTCAAAGTACAGGTGGCGTCGCTTTTCGCGTTGTAACTTTTTGACAGCTATTCTGGTCCTTGGGGCGGACGCGTAAATTTCCACGCGGGCCTCGTAACTCCGCCGCGTGACCCTCGTTGGCTGATGAAAGGGCGAAGAAAGTGAGTTTCCCCCAACCTGAGGTGGCGCAGCGCTCCGCCGTCGGGCGAGTACGGGGCGTGTTGCGGGGCGCCGAACATGTTGCTGTCCACAAAGTGGCGGTAGCCGCTGAACTTGTGCAGGTACATGCGTGAGGCGCGCACCACCCACACGTGGTGGCCCGGGAAGCGGCGGCCCAGCGTGACGCTCACCTGCTCCAAACTCCACGCCAGCCAGGGGGCGCACTCGGGCTGCGAGGCCATCTCCTCCTGGAAGTTCTGCCACACAGCGCAACACAAACGGACGCTACTTGCATTTTTCTCGTTTGGATGACGGCCAAGTACGTTTTCTCAATTGAATGATGGCCGCTCAGAATATTTTCTCTTTTTTTTTTTATTTATGGGGGAGGGCAGTTAGACTTTTGTGACAGTTTCTCATTGTTCCGGTTCATTTCTTAAAATGGCCATTTTCCCGATCTTCAGTTTCATCAGTGCCATGATGGACATTGGCGTATTTCTCCCGTTTCTCACTTCTACCGCTCTGGCGGACATGTGTGAGCCACTTGCCTCAACTTTCGATTTGACCTCGATCACTGCGATGATAGTCGCGTGACGTTTTCTCGTTTCGCTTACTTTCACTCCCTTCTTGAAGTTGCCAACTCTGTGACACCCCCGCCCCCAAGACCATTTAATGCAGTAGACTACAACCATGGCACAAGATCCTCTGTTGATTTCCCACTGAGAGTCGTCGATAGCTTTGCTCACCTGAATGTCCCCGTGGAAAAACACCACGTGCTTGTTACTACTGCTGTTGTCTTCTGGTGACTCGTGGCCATCTCCGGGCCGGAGGAGGAGCAGATCGTTGAGCATGTTTGGTTTGCACCCGGGCACGGCCAGTAGCTTGTGGAGCCTCGGCGCGCTCGTACCTTTAGAGTGTCCAACCGGGCGACTGCTCGATGCGGGAGAGGAGGGCGGCGGCACCGTAGTCGTCATCGTCGCGTATTCGGCTGCAGCTGTCGCTCAGAGAATAAGTCCTTCGGTCCCTTCAGTCCGGTGCAAGACAAGTATTTAGCTCCGAGCTCATAGGAGCAACCTCGGAGGGATTTAGCAGCAAATCTAGCTCCGAGCTGGCCTTGATGTAAGCATCCTCAGCTTTAGCACTTGACCTTACACATTACGTGACGTCGCCTCTCTCGTTTTTCCAAGGAGCGCCCCCAAAAAATCGCCAATTTGCGTTTACCTGATAAATTTTATGCGATTTGCCCACAGAGAGGCGCTGTTGATTAAAAACACGTCACCACGGTAAACGGCGTTACTTGACTGCGCGTGGCAATTGGTCAACACCACAACTGAGCATGCGCGAACGTCATGACGCAGTAATGGCGGGGGCGGGGGTGCCAAGTTGGTGATTCCCTGTTTTGTATTTCCGTTTTCGCTTGAAGGTGACAAAACTTGAGACGACCTGCCTTCCCATCGAATAACATTTTAATGCGATGCTTTGAAGATACAATAAACCACACTGAAGGCACTACTGTCACGAGTTTAGATACATTGCCCCTGTACCTGGAGCAGAGACGAGCGCGCACGTAAACCAAGATGTATCCCTCGCGGTTACTTCCGTGTTCGATTGCGAGACGAGCCGCTTTCGCCTCGCCAAACACATTCAAACGCGCTCCTTCAATAATACAGGAACGGTTACATTTGATGTTCACTTATGTTGTAAGCATTGTATTTGAGTTATGTAATATAAAATGGAAATTTTAAAACATTCACAGCATTTAGCGACAGATTGGACTTTGCCCAATCTCTGTACTCTGCACTGCCAGCGGCGATGATACACAGCGAGTGACTCTCAAGCGCTCGGTGACTATAAATTCAGCATTTATTTGAGTGCTAACCGAGATTGTCATATTAATGGCTACTTAATTTTGATTCTCACACGTTGCTCAGACATTCGGTTCGAGTTCTAACACGGACCATAGTAGGTAAGGGACAGGAAGTGTAACTGCCCAGCGCTCTAGCACCATGGCGAGTTAAAGTAAATGTACTTTTCCTGTGTGGGTTTTCTCTGGGTACTCTGCTTTTCTTCCAAAAACATGTTCGCTAGGTCACCTGCACACTCGAACTTGTCCCTAGACATGAGTAGTTCTTCGTGTGTCCTAACATGAAGGCAGATGTACTTTCCGAAAGATAAATCACTTAAACTGCAATCAATGGAATCTCTCAGTTGGTAATCCCTGCCCGTTTTTTGTTGTTGTTGCTGTTTTTTTTAAACAATTGATTCCAAATGTCATTACATCGCTTCTGTTTTACGGAAAAAAAATATGTACTTTCCGAAAGATAAATCACTTAAACTGCAACAAATGGAATCTCTCAATTGGTAACCCCTGCCCGTTTTGTTGTTGTTTTTTTTGAAACAATTGATTCCAAATGTCATTACATCTCTTCTGTTTTACGGAAAAAAAAAAAAATCACAATGTACATCTCGTGTGTTTCTGTTTCCGACCCTAATTTGATGGAATTATTCTTACAGTTACTATAATTGCAGAAACATGACGACCACTTCAATGGGAAGACGCCTGGTGACGTGCCTGCTCAACGTGTCAGAGGCTCGCAGGAAGGACTTGGTGGAACGTGTGGCCAAGGCCGCCTTATACGACTCTCAAGGCAAGTGCGGAACACAAGCGCCAGTACTCCCTCGGACACCAATAATTGGGTGGACGTGTCTATTGATACAGGACGTGAAAAAAAGTCTCAGGGCCCATGCCCCAAATTGAAGAGGAGGTCAGCCATTTTGGTTTGAAGCAGCCCTCTTGAGCTAATGTTGTCTTCATTCCGATCGGGCAGGTGTTAGAAGAGACGGGACCACGGTGCTGAACATCTTCAATGACCGTGACTACAACCGCTCCGTCATCACAATTGTGGCCACCGTTGAAGCCATCAGTAAGTACCGACTCACGTTCATGCAACGTAATTGATGGCAATATATATCACGTCTTTTTTCTGTATTTCAGGGGAGGCCGTCTTGTCTGCCTGCGAGAAAGCCTGCGAGCTGTTTGACATGCGCGACCACTCGGGCGTCCACCCGTGTTTGGGTGCCGTGGACCTGGTCCCCATCTACCCCCTGGGGGAGGACGTGGGCCCCGACGACTGTGCTCGAGAGTCTCGCGGTGAGATCCCGTTGGCGCTGAGGTTCTTTTTGTCGGCTCGCCGGCGGGCGCTTTATGTCGGACTTTGCCGTCTTCCTGACTTTGTCGGTCTTCGTCAGCGGTGGCCGTGGGCCTGACCGAGCGAGTGCCGGGAACCAGCGTCTTCCTCTTCGGGTGGGCGGACGCCCCGCATCAGCGGGGGCTGGCGCAGAGGAGGAAGGAGATGGGCTGGTTCAAGAAGACGCCCGACTTGAACGGCGTGAGGCCCTGCGTCGGGCCCGTGCCATGCCAACGCTTCGGCCTCACCGGTCAGTCCCAAACACTTGCGAACCGACCCGAAAGCAAAGCGACACGATGAATTTCTTTTGTGTTTCATCGCTATTCCGCTCTCGATGCGACACCTTTGCGTTGTCCGGTGTTTTGATTTTTCATGACTATCCCGCTGTCAGAAAGGTTCCTTCAGACACCTTGACCAGAAGAAAAAGAAAGCATCTCGCTCTACGCAACAGTTCAGCGGTTTTCCCGAATGTCGTGTGTTTTCCTTTTCAAGACAGGTCCGCCCTTAATGCGGCACATTTGTCTCTCTGAAACTTGCCTGAATCGGACCACGCGCTTCCGCTCTCCGAAGCAGCGCGACGATTTTCCTGGAGAGTCCAGTGTCTCACGACTAGAACAATAAGAAAGAAGATCGACTTGATGGTTGGGCGGCGTGTATGGCGGTCACAATATTCCTTTGCTCTGGTCGCAGGCGTCGGGGCCAGTCCCTACGTCATGAACTGCAACGTCACTATCGACACGCAGGATCTAACCGTAGGACGGCGCATCGCCGCCGCCATCAGGGAATCCACGCCGGGGGGTCTTCCGGGGGTCCAGGTCCTGGCCCTGCCACACGAGGGCGCCGTGGAGATCGCCTGCAACGTGGAGAGCGTGCCGGGGGCCGGGCCCAGCCCGACCGACGCCGCGGCGGCGCCCTGGCCGTCCTTCAGCATCGGGGGGCGGCCGTACTGTCACGTTCCAGCTCGTCTCATCGCCGCCAGGGTCGCCCGGCTGGCGGGCGACCAGGGCGTTGCCACCAAGCGCGCCGCCTTGGTGGGCTTCACCCCCATCGAGTGTCGGGGCTTGGCCGAGTTGGCTCTGTCTCGGGGGATTGCCGAATTTTGGAAAGAGCAGCAAAGCGTGCGCATGTGAAAATAAATTTGGATTCAAGGCCACCTCACAACGAGGACTCTGTTTTGAAAGGATTCAAATGTGAACGTGACCTGGAATTCACAATGTGAAAATAAATTTGGATTCAAGGCCACCTCACACCGAGGACTCTGTTTTGAAAGGATTCAACATGACCTGGAATTCACGCCAAAATGGCTGCTTCAAAACAAAACGGCCGCTATGCCCTGTTCAATTTCAAGCTTTTCGAACCGAATACTATTCATGTATTTATTTCTTTAATATGGGGGGGCATCTTATTATAATCGACATATCTGCCCAAATTGAATGTTGAACTGTGAAACGAGCGTCCAAGGTTAATTGCAAACAAATTAGGAGGAATGAATGAAGAATCCACTTCAAACGGCTACTCGACACCACAGCGGCCAACTTCCTGCTCAACTTCAGCCGTGGCTCTTTCAGACCTTCCTTCTCGCGCGCTGGGGCAACTTTTGGTGTTTGACCAAGCAGACGCCAACAAAAATGGCTCATGGCTGGCGGGGAAATGCCGAGAGAAGTGCGACTCTGGATGTGAACGTTTCACGAGTAAACCAAAGGTTGGTCATCCATCACGCGCCCTATTTAATCGGCGCGAATCCAACATGGTCAGACCAAGCGCCTTTCCCGTCTTTGTGCCCGTCGACGCCGACTCGAGTCGATGTTGTTCCTCCGCTGGGATTTCAAGGGCGACGGATTGACCGATTCCGGTGAGGCTGCCAAAGCGCTTTGATTTGCGCATTGACTCTTTGTCGATTCTGTCGTAGGGCACAAAGACAAAGCAAACGGCGAGTGGTTCGCTCTTTCAATCAGGTGGGCCCGCGTGAAGCGCTCTGTGGCTTTTGATTCCAACTTCAGCGGACTGGTTGGGTGAGATAAAGGAGGGTGAGTTCTTCCAACGCTTCTGAAGGTTGGCCCGGGAGTCAGCCGGGGAGTCATCATCGTTCCACAAAGACAAGACAAAGGCGGCCGAATTCAGGTCATCGCAACGTGTTTTGCTTCATGAAATCGTTTGCTTCCGTTGTCGCTTTTCACGTTACATAAGATGACGACCCCCCACACCCCTTGAGGCCCTTTTCATCGCTCCCTCTCGCTCAGTAAGTCTTTGTACGCCATCCAACTGAAGCTTTAGTCCCGCAGAAAACATGGCAGCCTCTCAGCTCTCCTTTCTTTGCGTCTTCCATCCAATTTTGCCATCGCCGGGCAAACGCCTTTGCGGCGCACGCATTTGCGCGCCGCACGTGAGCACACGCGCAGCCTGTCGGGCTGCCGAGCATCACGACTTAAACTAGGTCAAAGCGGAAGCCCAGAGGTATTCTGCCGCAACGCGCACGCACCACTCACACACACACACACACACACACACACACACACACACACATATGAATGCATCTTTCAAATCGTCACGTTCGGCAGCGACCAGCTCAATATGAATTGCCTTCTTCGAGATTAGCCGACTTGGGCTGGGGCTCAAGACCTGCGTGACAAAACGCAGTAGGGAGTGATTGTCGTCCGTCCTAAAAGAGACACTTAGGTGCATTTTTTTTTGCTCGGTGTGTGTGTGTGTGTGTGTGTGTGTGTGTGTGTGTGTGTGTGTGTGAGATGCGCTTGCTTTGATCTAATTCTTGTTGGCAGCGTATCATCCGAGATGCGAGCACATGTGTGACGGCGTAGTGAAAATAGAGGAGCTTATTTCCTCACGTCTTCCTCCGCCAAGCCTTCTATAAATACACACAGCTCTCTGTTGTCGCTTTACAAAGACCCCCACCAACAGCACCCTCCCTCCCCCGATTTGTCCAATTTTTCCTCATAATTGCGCACTTCTCCTCTGCTGCAGTCATCCAATGTGGAGCAATGTGTGCCACGTCTCGACTCAAGGAAACTATATATATATATATATATATATACATACATATCTATCAAATATATGATTAAATTAAATCTTTTTTTCAGCAGCAAGGCGGACGACTGATGAGCACGTCGGCCTCACCGTGCACAGGTGCAGGGTTCGATTCCGGGGGGGGGGGGGGATTACAGTTTGAACCACAATTAGCGTTGTTTCCTCTTTTCCAATAAATAACACCAAAATGCTCATCAAGATTTTCTTGTGGTTTAAAAGTAGCTCGCTAGTCTTGAAACATATATTCACTGTATCGTACTCCGGTCTCCTCCCACATTCCCAAAACATGCACAGTCGGTTTATTGACCCCTCGCAATGGTCTTTGCGGGGACTGGCTGGCAACCAGTTGAGGGTGGACCCCGCCTCCTGCCCAAAGAGGGGCTCGAGCACGCCCGCGACCTTCATCCGAGAGGTGAGCAGAAGCGGCTCGGATCGCGGAGGAATGGAATTTTGTTGGCTTTGTTGTTTTTTCCACGGGTCACTGTGACCCACCGCACGTTTGCTCATGAAAAATTCATAAAAGTTGATTTGTAATCACCGAACAAAGACAAACGAAAACAAATATAACCACAGGGTGATGATTAAGATGCTCAAACTCATCGAAGAGTACAAAAAGGCCAACTTGTTTTCAAAAAGGACCGTTTGGCGAGGCGCGTTAGTTTAAAAAAGTCCAATTTAAAAAAAGCATTGCAACCAATTCTCTTCTATCCCGTTTTTACAAGGTCAAAATTCTTTTTTTCTGCTCAACAGTAAGGGTTCTTGCAACAAACACAAAATCAATGTTGAGGCTCCCCCCGCATTGACAGCTGGGAAGTATGCAGAGGCTCCCTCACCCGAGCCGGCCCCCCCACCCTCGACACATGCTCAGCATCCTCTGGCCGGCCGAGAAACCGAAAGAGCGAGAAGAGAGAGGGAGGGCGAGCGAGCGCAAGAGCAGCGAGCTGGAAACGCGGCTGAGCATCACAGGAAGACACAAATAGAGCCATAAAGCGACAAATCAGGCGGCGAGGCCGCCGCGAAGGGGGGCGGGGGAGGACGAAGAGGAGGAAAACTGCCTGCTGAGTCCTTTGCAGAGCCGCGGTTGCTTCAAGATCCTCTCTTTCCTCCTCATATTTTTGCTCCCTTTCCTTCTTTTTTTTTTTTTTTTTTGTGTGTGTGTGAGAGGAGAGGAGGATGCGAGAACCTGGCGGCTCCTCCTGAGGCTGGATGCCGGAATCCACGCAGGCAGGCCAGGATGGATGGGCTGCTGGCGCCGACCCAGATTCCCCGCTCCGCACCGGTCGCCGGCGCTCCAGGGATGTGACGTTGCTCCGCGGCGAGGTAAGCGGCTCGTGCGGGCGCAATCAGTGGCACTCAAGGAGGAGCCGCAAGCGTACACAATCGGCCCGTCGCTTCTGTTTAGCTTAGCTTTGGGACAATTCAAAGCGCCGGTCGAAGTGAGACGCCGTCGCGCAGAATTCGGACATGCCAGCGTGCTCACATGCTTTTGCCATCACTAGCATGCCGAAATGTCACGCCAACCAAAAAGGTGGCCGTTGTTTAGAGAAAGAGAGAGAGAGAGAGAAAAAAAATGCAAATGTTTTTCACGACGGTGGGAGACGGGTCAGCACCTCCGCCTCACGCTGCAGAGGTCACGGGTCCGATTCCGGGCTGCGGCCCTTCTGTGGGGAGTTTGCTTCCACATTCCAAAAACATGCCCGCTAGCACTCCAAATTGTCCGACTGTGCACGCGATTGGTCGTATTTCGATGTGTGCCCCGCCATTGGCTGGCGACCAGTTCTGGGTGCACGCCAAGACAGCCGGGAAAGGCTCAGGCACGTCCGCGAACCGCCGTGAGCAGAAGCAGATGAGAAAATGAGAAATACTTGCTTTTCTTTACCCCAAGAAAAAAGTCGCAACATTACGATATTTTTTTCCTTGTTCTCGTTTCCATATTGTCAGAAATAAATGCGTATTCTGATAAGATTGGAATTTTTCATCCCGCCACGTTGTGGCAATTCAAAACGAGTCACCACGCTTGAAATGGTTTTGAATTTGTGACCGTCACCTAGAAAATGTGCCTTTCTTCTGGTGACCACTTGATTTTGGAAAAATACGAGCCCATTCTCTTCGCAGCGCTGGGATGGTTAAATTGGGTGACAGGTTTCTTCTTCGAAGAGGAAAAAACTCCTTCCTGGCTGACGGTTTTGCCCGTTGCTTCGGCCTCCATCACTACTTCCTGCTGACGGAGGACCGAAGCGCCGGCCGCGCGCCGAAGCGCGCTTTACGGACCGCCCGCATGCATAATGCAAACATTGGGAGACGTGTCACGCACGGCAAGTCGGCGTGCTTCCTTCCCCCGGAGGAGCCGAGAAACTAGGCTAAGCCGAGTCCCGCATCCATAATTGACTCCCTCCCGGGGGCTCCGGGAAGGCTTTGGCTTGTGCGAGCCGTGAAACAATCGCGTTGCAAGTCCAGCCCGACAGACAACAAATAAGTAGCATGTACTCGCTCCTCAAAGATCGAGAGCTGTCTCACGTCAACGGGACGTGCGAGTGGAAAAATCAGCTCTTGAGGGCTTGCGTCCAGACAAGTTGATCTTGTGTTGATCTCATTACATCCATATGATACGTGTATGTGTGTGTGTGTGTGTGTGTGCGTGTGTGTCCGAGGGACCCATAGCCGAAATGTAACAGCAAGTCGGCCGTTTTGGTTGGGAGCGGCCTATTTGGGCGAATGCCAGCGGGCCGCATACTTTTCCAAACACAGACTGGAAAACGTGCTCACGCGAAAGCTCATCTTCTTCCGATGGATGCCCCATTTTTTTTTTTTTCTGTCACTGTGCCCACTGTAGCGCACCGAAATGTAGTTTGGGCGCTTAGGGGGGCAGGGGGAGGGGCGCTGTTGCTCGCTTGTCAGCGTAACGGCTTGAAGAGTCACGTATAAAGCAAAATGTCGAGCCCAAGTCGGTTTGTCGTGACCTCTGCGTAGACCACGCACACGATCGCAGAGCTCAGTTTTCATGGATTCGATAGGACCGGTTGGGCAACCATTGTGCAGCCACGTTTAAAAAAAAAAAAAAAAGGCCAAAGCAAAAAAAAAAAAGGGGGTCAGCGTTAGCCCAGAGGTTCGAGGATCCCACCAAGGCGGAGGCAATGGTGGATCTATGTCACGGAGGTTGTCAAGGCGCCGCTCTGTGGCAAATGGCTCCATTGGCTACTCAACGTGGCAAGGACAAAGCCGTCGGCAAGCGGACGCAATTAGGGCCACGGGTGGCTTTGTACGGCAGCACAACCGATTTGAATGGAAACCATCCAGAGGCCGAGGGGGCGGCTTTCATTCCGGAGGCTCGGCGTCAATACGCCGTCCGGCGTCTTCACAATTTGTCTTTGGTTTGCGATCTACAAGTGAGGGGGGGTTGTCCACTGGTTTCTAATCTTAAGGCAACAGTCTCGAACTCGGGCCTGAAACTGCACAATCATTTCTAATTGGACTGGCAAATTCAACGCCGTTGTTCGATGCAGCTTCTTTCACCTTTCTCAAGAGCACCTTGGAACAGTCGTCGCATCCTGGCCGGATGACTGGAACACACTTGACTTTGGAGTCAGCCGATCCTCCATGGAGCGTCTCCAGTTGGGCCAGAATGCTGCCTCTCGCCTCTTGACTGCTACTCGCGTCAAGAGGGAGCGCATCGCTCCTACTCTGGCATCCCTTCACCGGCACACTCGAGAGTTCTTTGGAAGAGCCTCTGATTTGTTTTTACCTCTCCCCACCTGACCTCTCGGAGCTCCTCAGCCCCCACGCACCTCAGGTCTGCGGAGCAGACACTATTAAAGGTACCGAGGGGGAAGCGCAGTGGCGCTCCCTCTCTTTGGAATGAACGTTTGGGCCAGCCCCCTCGCTGCCCATCTCGAAAACTCGTCATTTTGATTCTTTGGCCTTGGACTCGGCATCAGACTCGAATTTTAGTCGGACTGTTTTTGTGCTCTCTACTGTCTTGTTTTATTGTTTGTTGTTGTATGCGTTCTTTTTTTGGCTCCATGTACAGCAATTTATAGACGGCGGCGGTTGTCTTAAAGCGCTCGAGAAATACGCTTGAGTTGAGAAACGGCGAGCTTTTTGCTTTGTTTGGGTTCTCCTTGACCAGTCTGAAATAATAGTGTTGAAATTGTACATGTGGTACGAATGGATATTTTGCTTGTTCGTAGGAGTAGAAATGAAATTGCCATCAGACGTCTTTAGTCGTCTCCAACCGAAATCATTCTGATGTCACGATGAAGGACAAAAATCGCACGCACATTTGTATATTTTTAAAATCACACCGGCAATAAATAGCTCTCGCTCAAAGACTGAACTCGTCTGCTCAGGAAAAAAAAAACAACAAACAAAAAAAAAGAAGCCGCGGCACCAGATTAGACTGTGAGAGCGACAGAATGGTAACGTCGTCTCAGCGGGGTAACAACCTTTGCAACGTCAACCATCTTCAAAAAAACGCTAAAAATATCACCCGGCTGCGGGGGTGGTTGTCGGGGGCGGGGGGGAAGTATTTCTGGAAGTGGAGAAGACAGCTTCAAAAATGTCCAGCCGCACCAAAATCAGTCACTCAGAAACAGAAGATTCACTGAATGGTGTGTGTGTGTGTTGACATTGACAAGATACGGTGGCATGGTTAAAAATGTGTTCTTTGCCAATGAGCGAGCGACACTTTGTGGGACAAGATGACAATGACAACAAGCAAAAAAGTTGTTGAATGAAATTGAGGAGTTGAGAAGGCATCGAAATTGAGACCACGCGACGGCATCGTCGTTAAATGACCACATCGTGCTCGCGGTTGGTCGTGAACGGGTGACATTGCGAAATGAAAAATCCAAGTTGATTCGCGCGCTCGCATACGCGGCGCTTTTACGACACCGGACGGCTTTGCAAAGCGCTTTGCAAAGCCTCATTCGTTGGCTTATTTGAAGCCGTTATCTCCGCTTCGTTGAAGCCGCGGCATTAACTGACAGGGAAAGTTTTTCCTTTTTAGTTGGAAAAATAGCTTACCTCAACTCCCGGGATCGATCCGGGATCATACTAGCTAGACGAAGCTGGACGATCATTTTGGGGATTGGCCATGAAAACAAGATTCCGCCGAGCTCGCCGCTTTCATTCTGTTTTGGCGCGGGTCTTCAAATGCAAACGTGTATTCTAAAAACAGAGTCCGTCTTGTATTTGAAGATGAATCGAAGCCTTCCATGAAGCCATCACATAACGCGTGCTTTGAGTCTGTTCGGGGTCAGATTGTCGAAAAAAAAAAAATTATAAATAAAAGATGGAAGGCGGTTCAAAGTCACGGTCATGAGCAGACCTTCACGCATGCCACACAAACATTTGACAGCGACTTGATGTAGCTCGTCCGATGCCAACTCAATGTCATTTCACGTCCTTGATGGATTTGCGGCTTTGCGGCGGATCATTCGCCACGTTGGAACGATAACGCCGCCCTCCCCAAAGCCGTCCGCGAACGAGAGAGCTCAGCGCGATTTCCGACGCGTTTGAAGGACGCGGCAAGGAAGACTTGCGGCGCAGTCCGAACGCGTCGAACTCGCGACTCGGGAGGGTGGCGTCGATTTCCCGCCCGCGGGATGAAGGCGAAGAAGAAGGCGGCAGGCCAACTCCTGAGTTGTCGCCGGCCGCGACCCGAATCACGGGGCCGTACTTTTTTAAGCGGGTCGCTCGTCTTTGTGTCAAAATGCAGGATGGAGGAGACGGTGCGATCCCTACTCCAGAACCAGGACTCATTGGACGGCCCCAAGGTGGACCCACTGGACCTGATGAAAGCGTATAAGGTAGCAAAGACTTCAGAAAGCTCTCATGAGAACGAGGGCAAGTTGAAGTCCTCTCGGTAAATGCCAGCGCGTCTCTGGTTTGTTGCCGCCGTGTTGCAGGACAAACTTTTGGAGGAAATGTGGAAGCAGCAGGACAGTTTGGAGGGTCCGGCAGCTTCGGAAACGGAGACGTCCAAAGCGCCGGAGGCCGGCGGCGGCCCGGAGGGAAGCGCCAACGGCGATTCCATGCTCCAACGACTCCGAGCTTTGGAGGTAGGAGACCCAGCGCGTTCCTTCTCACTCCTTCGCAGTGAATCCATCAAGGCTGTGCAAAGCGCAATTCGCTCGGTGTCACTTTCCAAGTTTTGCCGCCTCCCTCCAAACATTCTTGGCTGGCCTTGACAAATGGACTCGGCTGGATTCGAAAGAGCTTTCAGACACGGAAACGCGACGTGCGGAGTTTGAACCTTAAACCCCCCACTCGTGCCGCGATGCTTTTTAGGCCACTCTGTCATAAAAAACCTCCACCCGTCCATGTTCTGTGGCGCTCGTACTCATGGAGATTCAAGTCCCGAATCAACCGCTCTCTCACCGCGCCGCCCCGACTCGAAAGCCGCCGAGGATGATTCGCCAAGCGTTCTTCGCAATCATTTGAGGGGGGTCCCTCTGCAGCCGTGAGGCTGATTTGTCGACTGGGCCGAACTCGCCGTCGGCTCTTCCCTTTGGCTCAAATGCCAATCGGGCATTGAACACGAGAATCGGGCGCAGCATTCGACGGCGTCTTGTTACAAGTCAGCACACGACACTCGACTCCACGTGACTTGGTTTGCGCCTGACCTTTTCTGCACCCTGACTGCGAGCCTTCCAGGCCACGCGTGACCTTTTGACGCTCTCCGCCGACATTGCCTCCAAAGAATCGTGGGCAACAAAACCTTTTTTTTGCTCTGATCGGCAAGCTCAATATCGACTCCCACCAGTTCATCCACCGATCGCGTTGAGCGCATTCTTTTTCATCGAGTGTCTCCTCCAGGCTGAGAACTCGGCTCTGTCCTTGGAAAACGACAACCAGAGGAGGCAATACGAGCGCTGCCTGGATGAGGTAAGGAATGGGGAAAACCGCTTTGGGTTGTCTTTGTCTCACTTGAAGTTGCGCGGCCAAGTTATGTGCAAAAGGGTCCCGATTCTTGGCCCAAATTCCCCAGTCGGGGTTTGTCAAAGTGTGCCACCTAAAATCCCTCCGAGATTGCGATGCCTCAAGCTAAAATGGCCGACTTCCTGTTGAATTTCGGGCACGGGTCACCTTGACGCTTTGTCCACCTCATGTTTTGTCAAACCGACGCCGGAGGGAAACGACCAATTGCAGCTCATCCGAGATCGCGACGACGGGCGAAAGCGATGATGCGACGCCTTGCGTTGGACGCAATCGAATCGATTGTGTCCCAGTGAAATTGGATTGATTTCAGGGTCCACAACATAATCCCGCAAACGCTGGCAAAAGAATCTTGGCTAACGGACGGGCGTCACGAAAATGTGGCAGTCGGGAATCGGAACAGGCCGATACTTTGATGGCCGCGCAGACGCGTCGGTCGGGAAAGTCTCAAGAGACGCCGTGCTGGGAAATAAAGCCGAGGTCGGCCGCCAGACATGCCCGGCGGCGACACCGAGGGCTCGGACGTCCTTGGACGACCGCCTACACGTGACTTTTTTTTTTGTTGGTGGTTAAACGGCGGCGCATATTTGAGCGGTGCCTTCATTGTCCACTCGTTTCTTGGTCCAGGTGGCCAACCAGGTGGTCCAGGCTCTCCTCACTCAAAAGGTGCGTCGTCATCCTCTCGCCATACCAATGCCGGAGTCGGTGAAGTATTTGACCCCCTCCCTGGTCTGTACCGATGTGGATTTAGCAGGACCTGAAAGAAGAATGCGTCAAGCTGCGCACGCGCGTCTTTGACTTGGAGCAGCAGAACCGCATACTGAGCGTCTTGTTCCAACAACGACTGCGAATGTCGCCGAGTCCCGCGGCGCAGGTAAGAGCCCGACGGACCAAAGCGGCTTGGCTTTTTGCTTTGTTTTTACCACCGTCGCACTTGAACCTGCACAACTTTGGGTCTTTTACAGGAGACTTGTAGATTTATTTTGACCTGCACAACTTTGGAGATCTTGACCTTTTGCCGATTTTACAGTGGTCTTTTTTTTTTTTTTCTGGCTAATGTTATTTTCACTTTGGTCCCGGGCAACTTCTGGGGACTTTTACAGCAGCCTTATTTGAACGTGCGTACATTTGAGGATTTGACGCTCGTCTGATTTTTGAGCAACGTTTCCTTCTGTGTTTTTTTTTTGTTTTTTTTTTAGGAGTACAGCATTTTTCCGGCTCGTTACGATTTTCTTCGAGGTGTATTAAGAATAACTTGCACAAAGCAGGCCATTCTTGATTTATCGCACCATCCTCAGCTATCGAGAAAGCTGCTCGTGATATGATCGTCTCAGCCCCGAGGCTTGAATTTGAAATGCGCTCGTCTCCAATGAAGTCACAAACAAAAAAACGACGGTGCTTTATTAGTAACAACGGAGGTTCGGCAACGCAATTTCGAAACACGAGCTTGTCAGAGGAGGGCATTGACGCCGGGCCAATTGAAGCACGTTTCCCCCTCACGTCACCGTATGACGTTGGAGGGCTGCAACTTTTCCGACTGCAAGTCAGGACGAACGATTCGGGTTCGTTTGCGGCAAATGACTCTGATGAGCCTTGGAATTTGCACAAAATGGCTGCTTGAAAAATTAAACTGACTGACTTCTCATTCTATCTGGGGGAGGGGGGGGGCTGCTTCTTTGAGCCTTTCGGGACCGTCCCGTTACGTCCTGAGACATGCCCACCCATTTTTGGGATGATTCGTGAATCTGGGGGACACCTGAAAAAGTCCCACGAACCCGTGACCGTTTTTGCTTTGAAGCGCAGCCAATTCAGGCGAATGTTGAGGGCTTGTATTTTGTCAGAAAGGTGGAAATGAGTCCTCTCCGGACTCCACTCTCACCGAGAAATATAGACCGGGTGGACACCAAAAGGTCTGCCCCAGTCGGAAGCAGGTGTTGGAGCATTTACCCGAAAAGCAAAACGGTTTTCTTCCGTCCAGGAAATCCCAAGGAATGGAAAAGTGGCGTCCGCTGCAGGGAGGTGGCCCAGTCTCGTGAGTCTGACGTGCCCGCGTAGTAGCGCGACCGGTAGCGACCTGTCTCTGTCCGGCGCCGGTAGCGAATACTCCAGCGGCTCGCGCACATGGGCCGAGGGACGAGGCCTGTCCAAACAGGTGACCTACTCCTCTCAAACGTTCTCTTAACTCTCAAGGATGGTGGCTCGTTGATTCATAGATGTCGATACCCCTTTGCCACGCAGTGCGCCGCCGGTCGGGACAAGAGGATGAGCGCGGCTGCCGTTTCTGGCCATCAGACGGACCTCGGCTTGAAGGAAGGCCACATCCTGAAAGGCCTCGAGCGTCTTCAGACCAGCGTCTCGAAGGAGAAACCCTACCCCGGGTCCGCACCGCAATGCAAGGACTGCATGATGTCCAACGAGGGCATCTACTCGCTGGGCGTCAAGAGTAACCCGCCGGGGACGACAGCCGAGACAGACAAAAACGCAAACGTAGGGATTGTCGTCGTGGACCCTGTTGAGAGCAGCAACAACTCACGTGTGTCGCCAAGTCAGGAATCCGGTGACGACGTGGCAGGAGGGGTCCAGACAGAAGAGGGGTCCAAAGAATCTTTCGGGAACACCGTTTCGGACAACTTCGTATTCTCTGCGGGCCCGCCCGGGACGCTGGAAAAAGAAAGCCTAAAGGGACACTCACGAGAAGAAACCGAGAACTCTGGCATCATGTTGAGCGACAGCAACAACAACCGGGAACCATGCAGCGACCGCAAATCCCGGCTGGACCGCATGGACTTGGAATCCCGAGCAGGGGATGCGACCCCGGCCGTGCGGCATTCTGCCACGCGGGCTTTGAGCTGCGTGAGCGAAGCCAGACAGCGCAGCTCTTCGGCAGAGGTTTCTCACCAAAGCGACGGCGGGCTTTCAAGGAACCCGAAGCCCAAACAGCAGCTCTGCGACTCGGCCAGGAAGGCGTTCATCCTGCGCAGCAAGAGTGCCGACGCCGGACCGGAACAGCACAAACACGTCCACTCGCCGCTCCATCAAAACCTCATCCGGGGGCACAAATCCGGGAGCCCCAACAAAAGGCCCAGTCACGGAAAAATGCACAGTTCGGGTCACGAGGCCCAAAAAGACAATGACTCTGCATCCCCGACCTGCAAGTCTTTGGAGCGCGTACAACAGCGCTCGCCTCTCGCGTCGCCTGTCAAAAGCGCTTCAGTGACCAAACTTGTTGAGGTGGAGGAAGATTCAAAGGCTCCGGCGAGACAGCCGCCGTCTGCAAGAATTGTGTCCAGCGCGGAGGAGCGCGGTAACGTACAACACCGGGAGCAGCTCACGGACCCGTTCTCTTCGGAGCTCGGCTCCCCGTCCGCCCCGACCCCACCGGGGCGGACGACTTCGCTCCTGCTCAGAACCATGTCGGACTCTGGACGCGTGACTCGTCCTCAGAGCGCCACTGTGGGAAAGACTCTGTCCGGTCAACAGAGTGGCTTTTCGCCAGACAGTCAAGCCGCCAAAGCGGTCTTCGACGGCCAACCCTCGAGCACGCCGGCCGTCCCCGCTCTAGAAACGCAGGATTTGGAATCCGCCGTCGCGTACCGCAGTGGAATGGTCGCAACCTCTTTGTTACCAAATCCGAATGTCTTACAACGGTCTCAGCAGAGCATTAGCGAGCCAAAACTTTCCGAAGTCCTGCCTCAGACGTACTCCAATGTCTACTATCGCAACTGCCAAAATTCCGGGTCCAGGGCTGCAAAAATGTCTCTTCCCGCAAACGCTCGATCCCACGAGGCAATCTCGGGACCCGAAAGCGGTACGTTCCTCATGCTCGGTCGCCAGAACAGGGATGACCCAAGCCCATCCATGAAAGGCATCCAAACCTACCAGACATACATTTGTGAGCCTCACTTGATGAATGAAGGCGGCAGATCCCGGCAGAAGATTGAGACCCGTTGTAATTCCCTGGATTCCGAGCCCTGCCGGGCTCCGGTCGCGGCGGACGGCGGCGTGATGCTGGACTGGGGCTTCGACGAGGAGGGCTGGCTCTTCAAGCGTTCCGTCTCCGTGTCCACCAGACCCCCGCTGAAGCCAGTGATGGGCATGAACGGGGCCAAGGCTCGAAGCCAGAGCTTCGGCGCTCGCTACATGGACCGCCCCAGCTTCAATTGGTCCGGCAAGGTGCGAACGCAGATCAAAACGCACTCTGGGAGCTCCCTGAACTCCTTGGGTGACATTCTCCCAGGAAGCATGAGCTGCTCCAGTAGCTACCACTGCCCCATGAACCGATCACTCCTGGACAACTTCCTCATGGAGGAAGGCCTGGCAGTTCCCCCGAGTCCGGGCTCATCCAGTGAAAGACTCCAGAGTCTGAAACTCCAGCGGGAACAAGCCAGACGCCTTCAAATCGAGCAACAGTTCTGCAGCGCCTTTGGAGAACCCGTCTGCGAAGAACCTGAGAGGCAGAGTACCATCACCACCATTGAGGAGAAGGTGATGCTCGGGATTGAGGAGAACTTGCACAAGTCTCAGGAGCAGGAGAGGAGTAGCGAAGTCAAGCAGAAATCCGGATCCACCTTGGCCAACTGGTTCGGCTTTCGCAAGGGTAAGATTCCCGTGCCCAGCGGCAAGAAGACGGACGTGGCCAAGGCAAAAGAAGAGAAGAGGGATCAGAAGATTACGTCGCTGCTCGGGGGGAAGCAGACCAAGACGGACAAGAAGAGCGACCGAAGAAAAAGTGACGCCAAAGACTGGTAAGACCCATTCCGTGGTTCTGTTTTTGTTTGTATTCTTCTTTCAGACGCCGCATCGACACGCCTATCTCAGCCGCGCCGCGTGTAGAATAAGACTCATCGCGCAGCGTAAATCCAACCGCAGACGCACTGTTAGCGTCATCCCATAATTACTCGCAACCGTCGCAATTTGTTCCTGAATGGCTGCTTTGTTTCAGCTCCGTGGGAAGGAGGGAGTCGCACGACGCAGTGCGCGCCTGCATCTCCATGCCCTGCCCGGGGATGTCGCTTCATGACACGCAAGGACGCATCGATGCCATCGGGGACGTACAGGTAGAGGAAACACCTCGAGTCCGTGGATTCGTTGCCACACGAAAGCACGCCCATGTCAACCCGCGGCCGACGAGGCGCAGAAAGTCATTTTTGGTCATCCCGACACGCGACAGCTTCATTTCCGCCGTGCACCCATGAGCGCAAATGCCTTTGTGCCCATCATGCTACGCGAAGCTTTGCCCGGCGATGCCAACTCCTACCCGACACCGCTGATGTTGTTTTGTCGCGATTGTGCTCATTCGGCGCCGATGCTGATCGTTTCTCTTGTGCTCATTTCCGCTGTGCGCCGACCACATCGATGATGCGCCAGAGAGCGGACGCTGGAAACGGAGCCCTGATTAAGACCACCCTCCAGGATGCCGTCATCGGTAAGCTTTCGCTTTTGCGCCTGCCTCGGTTGACCGCCGGCATCTTTTCAGAGCCGATCAGAGTCGATTTGGGATTTGCCACCTTACTGTTTGCAGAGAGTCGTAAAGCCCACGTATGAAATGTACGCGCGAGTCCGCAAAGGCCTCCAGACTAACTCAACGGAGCTTCTCCCGACGACTTTGTGCATTGTTCCAAATTGTGGCCCGATGTAGACCAGATGAAACCACTTTTGAGTGGTTTTTGCAGGGAAGGCAACGTGACATTGTCACCTCCAAACGAATAATAGATTGTGCCACTCCGTCCCACTCCGACCGGCCGCCCGCGCTCTTTTCATTGACTAAGGCATCGTGCGGACGATGCGAACTTTAAAAGATGTACCATGATCGTGACAGGAGCTTCTTTGGACCAATGCGGACAGTCGGCGTTGTGAAGGTAAAGCTCCCCCAAGTGTGTAAGTGTGTGAGTGTCAGCTCAGCATGCTTTCATGCCGCGTCGCACCGCCGCCGGCGTTGCTGTCCTCATATGTTGAGAGGGTGACCCCATTTTGGATCTAATTGTCTGAATTAGATCTCCAGTGATTGTTTATATGCTCGTGTTTTGGTGTGCGTCATGTTTGGTGATACGTTGGGCAACTGAAAGTGGGCACGAGACTCATCCCAGCAGCGCCACGTGCTCAAACGCGTCACCGTTCAGTCCTCTTCGGCTTTGACCGTTTGGAATCGGGAAGGCTCATTGTTATGCATGCTTGAGTGGGGCGACGCTTCACGACAAACGGGCCACATTTTCACACCAGGCAATACAGCACATTATCCATTTATTTCATGATTGACACGAATTCAATGGACAAATTATTTCAGGAGACAGATGAATGACCCCCCTCCAAAAAAACAACAAAAAAAGGCCCAAATGAATGCAATGCAGCCGAAGTAAATGGCATAAAGAAGAGAGCAAACTTTGCCCCCTTGCTGATCCCTGCCCGCCATTCTTCCAAATGGTTTTCAGGACCACTACAGCCCCAGTGGTGTCACCCCACCCGCCCTCTTTTCCTCCCCCTGCTTGCGTCCCCGCCAACCTTTGTGCTTGTGCCTCAGGGTCCGGCTGCCAGATGCGAACTTTGGACAGCGGAATCGGGACCATCCCCCTCCCCGAATCCTGCTCCTTCTTCTCCTCCATCCTGCACCTCCTCCCCAAGTCCCCGTCATCAACCCCCGAACCCGAACCAGCGCCGCCTGTCGCTCGCTTGCCCGACTTCTCCGGCGAGGAGGCGTCCCCGTTGCCCCGGTGGAGGATCCCCTCGGGTTTTCGGGACGATCATGCCGCGGTGCCTCGTTCTCCGTCCCACATCCAGCCGCCGCCTTTCCCTAGCGCGGCCTTCCTCCGGCCCGTCCGACCCCAACCTCAACCCCTTGTGACGTCTGCCCGTGTGTCTGATCCCCGCGACGCGGCCCAGAGACCCCCGCAAGGTAAAGTAAAGTACAGCAGAGCGGCCCGGGCAAAAGAGTCCAAATAAATCAGAAGCGTCCCACACCAATTTATTTGGACTCTCCTGCCAGCCGAGCGGCCGAGTCGTGGGGAGAAACTCAGCGGTCGGAATGGGAAATTTCACGTTGGATCTTCTGCAATGCCGGTCGACCGCTTAGCACGCCGGCCTCACGGCGCAGAGGTGTGCAGGGTTCCATTCGGGCTCCGGCCTTCCTGTGCGGGGTTGGCATGTTCTCCCCGTGCCTACGTGGCTTTACTCCGGTTTGCTCCCGCATTCCACAAGCAGGCACGGCAGGTTAAGGTGAATCACACCAGTTGGTTAAATAAGAATACACAAAAAGGAATCGCAGTCTGCCTTCTCAAGAAAAATAGAAAAAGGTGGACGTGTGACGAGGGCCGCCAGGAAGGAAATTGAGAGCTCCCCGTATAAAAATCCGGCATTTGAAAAGAGACGCTCCTAAACGGGTATAAGGCGGAGCAGGCTGCAGCTTCGCCCGGCGGGTATCAATTCAGTCGGTCCGGGAAGCCACGAGACCTGAGGGGATTTGGGTTCCAAAACACAATTGGGAGGCCTTGCTCCGAATGAGTCTGATGGAAAGAAAGGGATTGCCGGAGTCGGCACAAGCTACAATCTTGTCGTTCAAGGTTTTCCTTTCAATGCACTGCCAAAGTTGTTGTTGTCGACTGGCGCATTCCGACCGCGTCCGACAAAACTTCTGTGATTGTTCTAGAAACAAAGCTCATTACCTCTGTTGTGTGTTTGTTTGTTTGTGTGTTTTTTTTCCTAGGTGGAATGGAACCAAAGAGGCTGACCTATATCAAGACAAAGACCAGAACTCCTGCCAGCCAGCAGAAGGAGCAGACCAGGCTGCAGCTGGCCAACTGTAAGGCGAAAAACTCTACGCTCAGTTCCACATTCGCACTCGTGCGACCCTCCTGAAAGAAACCACAGCAGCACGCTCAACTCAACTCAAGTGTATTTCTCGAGCACTTTCAAACAGCCGTCGCTGCATACAAAGTGCTGTACATGGAGCAACTAACATATATCGTCACAACAAAACAATAAATCAGTAACAAAATGGTAGAAGGCACTAAAGTCAAGCCCTTCCTTTCTCAAATTCTCAAGAGCACTTTGCAATGTAAGCCTTGGTCACATCTCGGCCGGATTACTGTTCGGCACTTGACTTTGGAGTCAGCCAATCCTCCATGAAGCGCCTCCAGTTGGTCCAAAATGCTGCTGCTCGTCTCTTGACTGCTACTCGTATAAAGAGGGAGCGCATCGCTCCTACTCTGGCATCCCCTCGTTGGCTCATTTGAGAGTTCTTTTTCAAAGAGCCCGGGATTTGTTTTCAAATCGCCAAACGGCCTGTCCCCCCACCTGACCTCTCGGAGCTCCTCCGCACCTGCCCGGTGCCTCAGGTCTGCGGACCGGAGACTATTAGAAGTCCCGAGAAGTGAGGGGAGACTCCGAGGGGATGGAGCCTTTGCCTGAATGCTTTTCACTTCCTGTTTCATGTCTTTCCCTTTCAGAGCTTTGGACTCCATTTGGTGATTGGAAACTTTCGCCGGAGGACCCGGACGCTCCCGCTTTCGAGCTACAAAGTGGACTGCGTGCGGGACTGAACACCGAAGGTTGCAGAGAGTCACGGTGCCTGACTGCGGTTCGACAAGTACACACACACACACACATTCTCGCGTTGTCTGCTTCAAACCCAAGCCAAGACTGGCTCCAAAGCCCGGAACATTTGGAAGATAATCCAGCATCCAATATACCAAGCGCAGTACATTACTCGCTATATCTGGCAACACTTTTGTCTGAAGAAAAAGAAGAAGAAAAACGACTCCCGTTTGTTTTCCCTGTGGCGATTTTTATTTTTTCTTTTTCAGACCGAGCTCACAGTGGCCGACATGTATGGAAATGCCACAAATGTTGGTGCGTTTTGGGGGTTCAAACCATGTGAAAATAAAAGCTGCAAGCAGTGAGGAGCAGGTCCTCACTAATGTGATTTGGATGCAATCCTCTTTGGAAATGTTGCATCTGTCTGGGCGACCGGCGTCCAATTGGACTAATTCAATCGTGGACATGTCCCCCACCACAAAAAAAGACTGCTTCAACCCAAAATGGGTCAGGTGGGGTGGGGCCATTTCCAGATTGGAAAACAAGTCCTAGAATCTTAAATAGAACCCCAAAATGTAGCCAGTGAAGGGATGCCAGAGTAGTCGTGATGTGCTCCCTCTTACGAATAGCAGTCAAGAGGCGAGCAGCGGCATTCTGGAGCAACTGGAGACGCTTCATGGAGGACTGGCTGACTCCAAAGTCAGGTGCATGACAATAATCCAGCCGGGATGTGACGAAGGCACGAATTCAACATCAAAAAGTGGTCGCAAAGAGCTTTTGGCCGCTGCTTGCAGCTTTCATTGTTCGATTCATTGCTTTATATTTTCCACCATCGTTACCTTTTGTAAATATGGACTTCATGTGAAGAAGGTGAAAACAAAAACCTTGGACGGGAGCTGACGATCACGCTAAGTGGAGCTGATCCAAGTGCGCGCTCTTCATGCTGCGCACTGAGCCACGTGGCTGCTTTTTACTGCGCTAGCGTCCTGCACGGTCTCCGCTGTGGCATCGGGACCGCTTTCCTTCCCACAAGTGCAAGAAAATACCGCGTGACAAGTGCTGCTCTCTTGAGCGTCTATCGCACATCACAACCACCGTCATGGTCACTTTCCAAGGGGGCCGTGCAAACGTCTCCAGCGTGTTCTTTGTTATTGTTGTTGTATTTCTTCCGCAGCGATGACGTCAGGACAGTTTGCGCATTGGAACGTTATGGAACTCGCTCAGGGAAAACGTGGTCATTGTCTCTGATCGACGCTGCGGCTTTGAAGAGGATTTGGGGCGCTTTTGTACATGTCCTAACACACATTTGGATGTGTGACGACTTGATGTCAGTATTTACCTCACGTTGGTTCGCCAGCCGCGTGCTCGGATCCGAAAGGAAAGCACGCCCGCCGCTGGCTGTCTGCTCGCTTTCTCCCTTGATGACGTCCGTCCATATGCGTATCGTTTCTCGTGCTGTTTCGGTGTTCCTATTTACATTCCTTCGTCGCCGCGTTGCCCACTTTTATGGGCTTTGCAGTCACTTCCTGTTTTGCTGACTTGTGCTCAACAAACGTATCTTGTTCGGAGTCTCTGAAAGCATGCAGCGCCGTGCACAAGCTTTTGTTTTTGCGGCCAGCTCTCCATGTTAAGCAAATCATTGAGTTGACATTTCAATAGATGGATATGTTTTGGTTTTTAATTCCTGGGTGATAAGTCCATCTCAAGGTGTGGCCTCAGAAGACGCATCCACTTGCGAGTTTGTTCGAGTAGGAGGCCTAACATGGCTACTTTGTACCAAATCGGCCCACTTCCTGTTCAATATGTCAATGTTTTTGTTGACATTTTTGGGCGGGGGATGTTTTTGTTTCCCTGTGTCCCATTTTTGATGTCATGTGTTTTCATTGGGTTTTTGTTTCCACATGTTCTCGTCAGCGCTGTCCCATGTGTCGACCAATCAGCCAATCGGCTCCCTCCAGTGACTCGTAGCTTGTCCAGGTGTTCATCGTTGACGCGTCACTTTGCTTCTGTTTAGTTGGCTGCTTTCATTCAGGCTTTGCCACTTCGCTGTTACGTGTTGCAGTTATGTTGTTTCCTCAGAATATTGTTTCAGTGGGGCTGGTTTTTTTTTTTTTTTTTTTTTTTAAACCTGTGCTTTCGTTGTTGTTTTTACTTTGTTGGTTTTGTATTTTGATACTGCACCATGCCTATTTCGTTCTGGGGGAACTTTGTTTTTTTTAATGTCTTTTTTTTTTTTTTTTTTGCTTCTCTCCATTCGTGTCCACCTTTTACCTCCACATGATAAAAACTGTAGCACCTACAAAACACTTTTTCACCAGAATACACATGCTTGCAAAAAATGGAGTTTTCGGGGCTGGGGTAGCCAGCCTGAAACCGGAGAGCCGGCAAGGCGTGAAAACAAGCAATTTCCACAACTTTGCACGGGGTACTGCTGAGTGAGCTTTGTGGGGGCTGCGGTGAATTGAAAATTAGATTCAATGTGAAAAAGTAGTGGGAAAAAAATGGATGGATTTTGAAAAATGGGTTTTTGGTCATTGAGGCAGCCACCACTCACTTTGTTAATCACTTTGTTAGGCACTGTGTCCTTTACATATCAATCCTGTCACTACTGGGCCATATGGATATTTTGGGAGAAGATTCAAACTGTAGCGTTAGACCACTTATTTACCATTTTATTCAAACTATGCTCACTTGCTATGTGCATGTTGATAGAGGAAAAAAATATCGCCGTGGCGTTTATACCCGTAGCAACACAAAGGTCTCATGGATAAGTGAGATGGTTTTTCATTGATCAGGGAAACCACCGGCAACAATGACATGCGGGTAGATGGAACTCGGCATTGTTGTTGTGTTGGGGGGCAGGGGCTCATTATAATGAGTATGCATATTGTATTTTTCTAACATTTACCTTGTATTTATTACACACTGCGTTGATTAGTGAATATTTTTGTTTTTTGCACATTTATTGTGATTCTGCCTGACGTCGATGTTTTTTATGTAATAATCCGCGAATCAGTGACGTTTTTTTTTGTGATTGATTCCTATGCATTTATCACTTGTATACAATTCCACATTGCTTTGTTTTATGTTGGAGTGGGGAAAAAAATAGGAATAAAGTATTTCAGTACTTTTGACTTGAATTTATTTGCACTTGCATTGTAATGGAACAAATGCATCCACACTGAATATCGTCAAATCCTGAAAATACGGCATGAACATTCACTATAGGAAAGTACATTTGTAAACAACGTGTAATGTCCGAGTTGAGGGGCTTTATCAGACCTCACCAACCATAATAAGAACTTCGGACCGATTTGGGAGCGTCGCCCGTTTATTGCGTCCGTCCACACCACGCACGCTCTTTTTAGTGCGTCGCCTGCCTCTGACGTCACCATAAACTAGGCGGAAGAAACGGAGATCCAGAGTGTGCACTGCCCGAGTCCAGCTCCAGACTTAAAGTTAGACAATGGTAATATATATCAGGAACAACCCGTTCGTGCACCATATAATAATTTTATAAAACCTCCATTTATTGCAGGTGTTCTTTGGCAATATTTTTGCATATGTGACCGTGGTATTTGAAAAAAACGGAAAATCCATGAGGAAAAACAACAGAGAAAGATTGCCGTACGTTTTTCAAATACAGTACAGTACTGCATATATTTGCTTTATCTTGAAGGACCATTTCGGAAGTTTGTCACTCTCTGCTGTTGCTCGACTACCACATCCTTCTTTTGCTCAGCATCCGAGAAATATTTTCACATCCATTCCTAATAGTACCAATTGCCATTTTAACCTCGATGTATTGTGGAAAGTACGTGTTATTCAACGAAAAACCGAGCCAACAAGACTAAAATGAAAAATTCCTGTACGTTTAATTTTACCCTGAAGGATCATCCCGGAAATCACACCGCTATCGGTTACCTTGACACATCAGTCGTAAAAAATGGCGACCATAATCACCCAGGCAAGGAATTCAAAAATCTCTCAACTTTGATTTCAACGATCCAAGTGGCAGCGGACTTATTTTGTCAATCTCCGGGGAAGCAATATTTGCTTTCCATTGTGGCCGAGGAGAAGGCGTCGTGCAACGTGAGTCGCAGTCGGCTTGATTGTCTCTTTTTTTCTCTCTTGCCAACAGCTGTGTTCAACTGTTGAAGCAGCTCGCCTTGTTTACAACAGCTCAGCCGCTCTGCTAACTTGCTGCCGTGAAGCTCGCTGCGTGCATTTGCTCTGAACGGCTTTTCGGCGGAAGGAAGTCACCTGTAGCCAAACGACAAGCCATTCGCAGTCGCTGCTTGATCCTGTTGTTTCGAAGTTTGTGCTCATCATTTTTCCATGTTGTCAGCCTGCACAGTGTGACGATGGAGTGCATGTTCATCATGAACCGGATGGGCTCTCCGGGGAGCCCGGCTGCAGCCCAGCGGAGGCGGATGGCCCTGGGGGTGGTCATCCTCCTGCTGGTGGACGTCATCTGGGTGGCCTCCTCCGAGCTGACATCAGTAAGGGTCGCAGAGGCAACTTGACGCCGATAGCCAAACCGTCAGTTTGCATTCAGGAAGACATTTTAAGAACGCGAATCGTTTGCGTGCAAATCGGGACGGCGCAAGCTGGTCAATGAGCGTAATTCGGCCCCCAAATTGAGTTTCTCCGCCCATGATTTACAACACGCACAAAGTCGCGCTCGCGATTTGCTTTTTTTCTCGATCAGCAACATTTTATCGAAGGCATTTTCTATTGTTATCGATGACGTGTCTACGGCGACACCTATTGAGAGTGAATTATCGCCCAGCCCTAACTGAGTGCTGAAAAGTGCAGCCTCCGCGAGCAAAAACAAATCCTGCACTTTTCTGTCTTTGGACGAGTCGCCGCCTCCGAGTTGTCAAGGTAACGATATCTGTACCCCCGCCTTCGTTGGAGGTGGGTATGGTGGCACATTTGCATGAGACAGCGCCGCCCAAAATTGCCCAGATACAAGTGGTAATTGGACTTTCTGTTGTCTGGCGCAAGTTAGTTACCCTTGTGTAAGTCACTTCAATGATGTGTGCAAGGAAACGCGAATTATAACAAATAAACATTTCCAAACTGGATAGCTTCCCATGACAGTCTCTCACGACGCACGACCGATATCCTGTCTGATGCCGCTCTCCCACTGAATTGTTTGTTGTCTTCTCTCCCGCTCCGTCGCAGTACATTTTCCGGCAACAGGAGTACAACAAGCCCTTCTTCAGCACCTTCACCAAGACGTCCATGTTTGTGCTCTACTTGCTGGGGTTCCTGCTGTGGCGGCCCTGGAGGCAGCAGTGTACCGGCTCGCTCAAACGCAGACACGCTTCGCTTGTACGCACGGTGGGGATGAGGGACCGAGCCCTGGCGCCAAGAGTGAAAGTCTCCAAATCACCGAGGCCCTTCCCTGAAATGGGGTTTGATTGCCTATAGGTGGCACAAGATGGCAGTAAAGCACTTGAAACGGAGAAGATCATAAAACATCAACACGGTGTGCAATCAGGAGCCCACGTCACATCCAAGAGCGTGTTCACTCGTTCGCTTATTCAACACCAGCAAAGCACCTTCACGTGAGGATCGTCAGTGGTGTCAGTTCGGATGCTCACGCTGTCAATTTTGGGAAACGTTGACGCGTTGTTCTTATTCGCCAAAAGTCACTTTTCCAGAATAGGTCTCCTTTAAGGACCAACATAATCAGAAAACAAGGAAGCAGCCTTTTCTTATGGCAGAAACATTTTACCTCGTGGGAATTTGCCATAGGTGCCTTGAGATCCTTTCCGCTTGGGCTCGGCTCTCTCTCGAGGGAAACTGTGTCGTCGCATTTTTGTCTAACCGGTCAATCTGTCCACAGTTCGCCGATGCGGAAGTCTACTTTGCTCCTTGCGCCAATGACGCCCCCGTCAACAACTGCTTGGTACGTATTCATCGCAAAGTTGTCGGCCGGCGAACCAGTTCGATCTTCTCGCCACGTAGCCAGGTGGGCTTGCTTTGTAGGCGATCGTTTCACCCTCCTGTTACGTTTCTGTCTTTGGAATACCCAACGCTCGGATCAGCGCGACCCGTTGCCGGCGTCGTCATTTCAGCTCTTTGCGAGTGAAAGAAATGAGTGAACAGAGGTCAACGTGGTCGAGTCCTTGCATGTTGCGTTCATTGACATTGTTGGCAGTTGTGACGTACGTGCCTGGCCAGTGACGGTCGACTCCCTCAAAAGTCAGCCGGGATCAACTCCAAAGCGGCAGACAGGACGCGGAGGCTTACGAAATGCAAGGCAGCCCCGAAACAGAAAAAGTGAACCGTGAAAAAGTCTTTGCCCCTTTCCTGATTTCTTTTTTATCACGCACACAAAGCGACCCGTTTTCAAATCACACAGAGACAACCTCGGGAAATACAAAATGCAGTTTAGGCACCCAAAAAAAAAAAAAAAAAGATCCAGCGCTGTCGGTACCGAGTGTTGTTGTGGGTCGGAGTGCGTTTGGCAGAGTTGATCCAACCAACGGGGGTCTCCTTTTTCACGCAGAGTGAACCACTGTACGTGCCCGTCAAGTTTCAGGACGTCCCCGCCGATCCGGCCAACTGTTTGATGGACACCGATTGCGAACCCGGTGAGTGGGCGTCGCCCATCCGCTTCGGTGCAGCAATGGTTTTAAACTTTTCCCGCTTTTGTCCCAGCGGCTTGTAAAAAGCAGCGGGTGCGTTTTAGCAACATCATGGAGGTGCGCCAGCTGCCCTCCACGCAAGCCCTGGAGGCCAAACTGTCCCGCATGTCCTACCCGGCCGCCAAGGACCACGAGGCCATGATGCGCACGGTGGGCAAGCTGACCATCGCCGACGTGGCCAAGATCAGCTTCTTTTTCTGCTTTGTGGTGACGCCGGAGTCTTTGCTGCTTGCGGGATGAGCGAGCGAGCGAGTGAGCGAGCCCTTCGGAGCTGCCGCGTCAGGTCGTTTGCACAACGCGGTTGTATTGCTGCCACGTGTTCGCCTTTGCGTCCAAAGAATAGCACATACTCAAACGTCCGACTAAGTTGTCTATCGGCGGGGGATGGGGACTGCCTCCACCTGTCCCCCCAACCCCCTTTTTTTTGGGGGGGGGGGGGGGGGGCGCGGGCACGACTGCACTTGCACCTGTGTACGAAAGCCAACCGACGCTGTTTTTGTGGCGAGGCAGATGAGGTCGCGCGTGGCGGTGTGCGCCTCGGTGGCGGCGCAAAAGTACACCAGCCCGTTCTCAGAAGGGCGGAGGCGGCTGACGCCAAGTGACGAGCGAGCGGCGACTCCCGTCAGCCGGGAAACGTTGTC